AAACACATACTCATTCTTAGCAACATGGTTCTCATCAACATGCAATGCATGCATTTCTTCTGAGAATTCTTGAAACATTTTGTGCCGAAAATATATTACCACAGGATCCCGCGATAAGCCAGCCACAATAGCCGCATTTTTAAATTCTGTTAACACATTTGTACATTACAAATTAATATAGACTAATATATCAACTACAGTTACTCAGTTCGTTATATCACTTACGATTCCTTCGCTCACGTTCATTTTGCATAAACTTATTTATGCAAATGAGATTATCCGTTATTTATTTAAATGAGGTTATGCGTTCCGCTGAATGTAACGAAAGTTGACAATTCAACACGGAACACGAAAGACCTGTGATTGATTCCGTTACGGTTCCGCTTGTTCCGCTTGTTCCGCTTCCGTTCCGTTCCGTTCCGTCTCAATATCATCTCGTGTGCCGGCGGCCTTATTCTACCCCTTTTTGATTTTTTACTTTAATAAAATTTATTTTCACATTTTAATTAATCAATGTGGATGCGGATAATTAAGCTAGATTTGCAATGGGTGTATTCGTTTACGCAGTACTGCAAGCAGAGCATCCAGAGCAGGACCTCCAAAGTACCTGCGCAGATGAGATACATCCCTGCGTAAACGAACGACAAACTGCGCTGCAGTCGTTTTCGCAGGCGGAGTAAACGAACGACATCTGCGGCAGTAACTGCATAAACGAATGCACTCAAATACAACCGAGATCCGATGACGTCACGTATCCGTGTGAGCTCGACCCGGTCGACCAATGGAAGAGAACGCACGTCTCCCTTCCATCGAGCCGACGCAGCAGACGATAAATGCTAAGAAGCAATGCTGCAAGATCACGGACTAAGAAATAGAGGGACCGAGTCTAAAGTCCTAGTTTAGGCGAGAGGGGATGGTAATTCAAGCATGCGGGGAGGATTGCTTTCTGCCATATTGATGTAGCGATTCTCACACAGAGATTCTGTGTCTGTGACATGGTTACACTCGTGTAGTGGTGCCACTAGACATAACGAGTGACAAGCATAAAGAGATTAGGCAGTTTTATTATTGTTGTATTATAAATTTTATAAAATACTTTAACTTTTATTACTCTGAGGCTCTGCCTACAGTAGATAAAATATTAGAAATAGCAATAAACATTTAATATTAAAAAGAGAAATTATTTTACATCTAACAAGAGAATAAAATATATTAATTAGTTCCAATTCTTATTTCTTAATTCATGCATTAATTTTTCTATTCTTTTATTTTAAAATAAATAATTCCAATTTATTATTTCTAATATTTAATAATTATTCCTATTTCTATTTCCTATATTGTTTATTGTGCGCAGGATCTGACTTTCATTTTCACACATACGCAAATAGTGAGTTCTATGTGTGGTGATTACTAAACGAATACTCGGCGGTCCCCCCCCCCCCGCCGCAAACGTGCTCCACCGGTACAGCTTGTGCTCCGTCCCTCTATTCCTTAGTCCGTGACTTGAATCGTACAAAAATAGACAAGCTGTGAACCCATGAAGAATAGAGATTAGGAGGCCGAACTAGGCTTTCAGAAATGCGACCAAAATCAAGTTTCTGAAGTAATACTGGTGGTACTCGATAGGCGGCGTTCGAATCGCAAAACTCCTAACATATACATATACGCTTGCGTATACATACACACGAATGAAAGATGTAAAGAATAGAGAGGTTACTGTGAAGTTGACTGAGAGGACGGTGTCGTGGAACGCAAGCGACATCTCGATTAGCATTTTGAACTAATTCAGATGACCACTTTTGAGCTCATAATCTAACGCCATCGCCTATTAAGTTCGGCCTCCTGTTCTCTTCATGTGTGAACCGAATGATACCGAGTCAATCCAAAATGAGCCGATCTGCATGTAGTTCCTCAAGACCCTCTTTGCCCCTAATCTCGTTACCTCCTTCGTCTTCATTGGCAGTATAGGCTCCGTCCATGTATTCTAAGGTCGATGCTTTGCATCGAGATACTAATCGAACTGTCAATCTTTGCGTCGAGATAACCAATCAGCGACGCGAAAAAGTGTCAACAATAAACTTCAAGACTTTTGATACATTCGAGTATTGATCTTTCATGCCTTTTTTAAGAGTGGACTAGAACAATACAGGCGCGCGCTGCGCGCGCGCACTTATTATAGTAATTTAATAATTAGGAAATCTAAATATTTAGATAAATTTTTTTATTTTAAATAACCGTCAAAATAACCTTCGCTATTAAGCTATCAAACTATGGCTGCGTTCCCATTTCGTCTCACTCAGTGCAGTATCCAGTGGCCGCCATTTTGCTGGATACTGCACTGGAGAAGCGTTCCCAAATTACTGGACCAAATATTTGGTAATTAGGACAAAATGATTTAGCTCCCATTACCAAATATTTGGTAATGAAAAACGAAATGATTTAGCTCCCATTACCAAATATTTGGTAATGAAAAACGAAATGATTTAGCTTCCATTACCAAATATTTGGTAATGAAAAACGAAATTATTTAACTCTTATTACCAAATATTTGGTAATGAAAAACGAAATTATTTAGCTCTCATTACCAAATATTTGGTAATTAGAAAAAATATACAAGTAAAAAATATCTAAATAATTAAGCAAAAAAATTTATAATTAACGTCTTAATTTTTGCATATTTTTAAATTCCTTTTTTATTTGAATACAACTTGACAGCTTGAGGAAATGTAAACAATTGTCATAGAAACATTTATAAATTGCTAATCAATATTGCCTTGACAACCATTTAAATGTAAACTGTCAAAATATATTTTTTGCACATGATCAATATTGCCTTGATTACAAAATATTTGGTAAGAGTTACTAAATCACTTCGTCCTCATTACCAAATATTTGGTAATAGTTACTAAATCACTTCGTCCTCATTACCAAATATTTGGTAATAATTACTAAATCACTCCGTCCTCATTACCAAATATTTGGTAATAATTACTAAATCACTCCGTCCTCATTACCAAATATTTGAATACTCGAAAATTAATCTTGCTATTTGGAAACTGAAAATTTTTGGAAAACAATAGAAGTTTTCTTTACTGCATAACAACTGCGAATTCAACCTTAATATCATTTATTTAACCTAATATATTTTTTATAACTTTTTGCTTAAATATATTATTTAAAAAGTTCTGTTTTTTATTTGCTTCTAAGCTATGATCGAGCATACGTGCGAGCTACCTTTGAAACAAGAAAATCAATTTTCCTTTGTGCTTACAAAACCATTGACTTTCAGAAACGTGTGGACAGTCTGGTGTGGTATCAGTAAATATACTCCAAAATGTGGGGTTTACATGGACAGTCTAGCTACAATAACTGCCGAAAGAAGAAGGCATGCTGGACTCAAACATTGGTGGATAATACATCCATTTAGTTACGCCAGGTATGTTTTAATTTTTTGTATATAATATTTGAATTAAAAAAAAATAAAAAATAATCTAAAATATTTTATAAATGCTATTTCTATTTTCCGACGTAAAGGGAACAAAAAGATAATGTTCTAAACAAAAAAATTCACAGATTTCTATGGGATGCATTAATGATGGCAATATATTTTATCGCCTTCTTCACAATCCCTTTCATGATTTGTTTCGTTGTAATGGATTATGAATTCATTCGTCTAGATAAAGTAAATATTCCAATTTACACGATTTGCTGGCTGGACATATTGTTTAATTGTATTACAGGATATTACGACAAGAGAAATATATCTATCGAATTAAAACCTACTAAAATATTTCTGTGAGATATTTTGTATTTAACATTTTTAATTTACTTGATTATATATTTTTAAGTTTCTAATGTAACGTTAAGTAAATCATTTCAATAGATCTTATCTAAACAAATTTCTTATACTGGATGTGCTATCCTCTCTTCCATATGATTACATAACATTGTCGTGGCGAAGACTTCCTGGAAATGATCCATATCATATCGTTACTCTAATCAATATTATGCCTTTCATGAAATTAACACGCTATTACACTCTCAAGTCAAATATTTATTATCTATTTATGGTAATGTTTCTTTTATATTTTTGACAAAGATATATAAAATTAATATTGAAAATACATTTTATTTCAGCATTTTAAAATAAAAAATTTTCATTTCGAATTGTATACTACGCTGTTGCTAGGACTATACCTAATCTTCTGGTTTTCTTGCTTGTGTTATTTGATACCAATTTTAGTGATATATTTTCTCAACATTTCGCCGGCGGTGAGCATATTTATATAATTAAACAATATTGTGTTATATAAAAATTTTATATTCAGCATATTTCTAAAACTGTAATTGTAAAAATATTACTGCACAAAAAGGAATGCGAAGATTGTTGGATGATGAGATTAGGAAACAGCGGCTACAAAATCAGGTTTAAAAGCGCCGCATTTATCGCGCTGGAAAATATATTGGCAAGTGGCTATGGCCTATTCGTGCCAACGACGAATAGTATCATTATTTTAAACAGCGTTCTCATGATTATCGGCAGATGCATTGTGTGCTATATATTGGGTAAGGTGATATTTTTTTGACAAAGATTATAAATTATTAAACATTTTTTCTTTTAATACTGAACACATGCTGTCTTTCAGTTATGTTTCTTCATATTAAAGCTGAAAGAAAATCATCTGAAGTAAAGTTTCAAGAGATAATAGATCAAGTTAAAGCGTATACAAGACAAAAGCAGTTGTTGCCGCATATGAAGAAACGTCTTTTACTTTATTATCATTATCGCTTTGCGAACAGTTACTTTCGCAGCAAACAGATTTTATCAGATTTAACAGGTAAATAAAATGTCAGGCTCCATGTAAGATGTAAAATTTTTACCAATAATAATCTCGATATTTTGACTTGTCACAGTACCGTTACGCGAAGAGATCGCGCTTGAATCCTGCCGACGATTAATCGAAAATGTGATAATTTTTAAGAATCTGCCGAAAGACGTTTTGCAGTCAATAGTAAAAAATTTGAAATTCGAGTTGTATCTGCCAAATGATGTCATTGTTAAAGCTGGTACTCAGGGTGATTGTATGTTTTTCTTATCTTGTGGGACTGTTGCGGTTTTGACGCCAACTGGGAAAGAAGTAAGTCGATATATTCGACATTGAACACTGGGCTTGTTTATTGTAAAAAAAGGAAGAAATTCACTTTCTGTCCTTTTAAGATGTGCCATTTAGAAGACGGTGCCCATTTCGGTGAGGTCGCGCTCTTAGTGGCGGATCAGCGGAGGATAGCCAGCGTTATCGCGATCGACGTCTGCGAGGTGTATCGGCTCGATCGCAAAGACTTTCGTCATTGTATAGACGTTCACAGCCAGCTATTCGCTGAAATTGAACGCATCGCCACGGAACGCGTAGAAAAAACCGTCAGAGTCGAGGAACAGTACAAGCGTTTCCTGATGCGTCCTAGTATCGTGCAGAATGCACGTGAACATGAAGAATCTAGACCAATAAAAACTAAAATTTAAGTATATCCATTTTACTATATGCTTAATATTTTACGAATTTTCTTATTTTCTAAGATTTAAGATAATTAAAATAAGTTTTCCGATTTCTAATCGATATGTCTTAGCGTTTTGCTATTATATAGAATTAAAATAATATTTTATCAAGAAAATAATTGTAAACAATTAGAGCAAATAAACGTAAGGCTGGCTTCATGAAGTATTGGTTTTTACCGCAAAATAACAATCACGCTGATCGTGTAATCATATATTTAAGGACCTTATATATTATTATTGTCCATACAATAATCGTATAGTGGCATTCTCATTTTTTTTTATATATATCTACTTTTATTTTAAAATTATATATATTTATATATATATATATATATATATATATTAATCGTGTTATACCTAAAGTACTTATCGTTACAATTACATCCGCTAAAGACTTTACGGTAGCACTGTCGTGACGATCTATATTTCTATCGATATAATGAAGGATATGAATCGTGGTTCTTTCTTCTTTTTTTTTTTTTGGCAAACTTCTACAAAGAGGTCAGCTTTGTGTCGAGACCCGTGTTCGTAGTATCGATCGTGATGAAATGTATTCAGCGTCAAGGTAGAAACGAAAGCGACACGCTTTATTGATACGAGGAAGACAGCAGATCATTATCGATAGCCGACGTCGTTACGCGCGAGGTAAGTTCCAGCCAGACCGCGAGAAACACGGTGCTAACTAATCGCATTTACGATTTAATAATCGTAACGTGTTGCAAGACGCACCACGGTCGTACCTACGGACATCGGTGTCATTGTACATATAAGAATATGCCATTCTGCTGGGATATGCGATCGGAAACACGCGATGGTAAATTAACGGTGAAAATTACATACATCCACACGTAAAATTGCAACGTCTGTTTAGAGGTCGCAACGATATGAATGATCATTTACGGTAGATCGAACTGGCGTGGGTGACGTACGACGCGTATTCAGGATGTGTGCCTTACGATTTTTAACGCGACTCCGTTCTCTTCGTCCGCCGTTTTCTCGTCTGTAACTAATTCCGGATCTGCGGGAACGGCTGATCAACGTCCGACTGCCTATACACTTACTAGATCGTTAATTAAATGGGTCACTACCGGATCACTTATTTTTCGCTACGATTTTACGTGGTTCTTGGTCATATCTAGAGGAGCACAGAGGAGAAGAGTACTTAATATCTTCGTCGATTATTATTCTTGCTTGCAATTGAAAATTGAGTACGTTCTCCGGATAAATCTAATCTATATTTTATACATATATATACGACGATATAAGCGTCGCGTTTCGGAAAAAAGTATGCGGATACATGGTCACTATTTACACTAACGAGACGTCGTATATATTCAGCACTCTTTCCCCAATCCTTTCGAAGGTCATCTAATAAGGCACTGCGTTTTTACTGCGACTGAATCGGTTCAAGTACGGAACAATCAAGAGAGTCGTGTCCTGGAGGCTCGCGATACGTCGAATTCTGATCGGTAACGATCTCACGACTTACACTTACGATGTGTGTGTGTGTATAAATGCGTTTTGGTACCTTTTTTCTCTTCCTTTTTATCCTTCTAATCGACTTGGAATCTCTACGATCTACCCGATGCATCATAAATGACGACGCGTCTACAGATAGTAAATAGCGTGTAATTAATAGTTACGATTATAAATGTCTCAGGAACAAACGTTAAATGCAACAGGTCTGCGCGTGGGCGCGATTACCGATTGTTGGGTAAGATAGAAAATCGTCTGTACATATATGTTACGCAACGACAAGTGAAAGATGTGACGCGACGCACGTAGATATTTTAATTCGAGTGCAAGATCACGTCACACAAATACAATTACATGTCTATATATCCGTATTTAGATTTTGTATTTGAGTCAGAATTTTACTTTCGAGAGTTGCTCTCAGACGGCGAGGCCTCGAGTGAACATTTAGAGTCAGTCTCGATTTTACGTTCACCGGAAAGACAAATTGTCCAAATTATTCTCAATGAATATAATCAATCTCTTAGATATAATCTAAATTGTATGTCCATTTGAGAGCATTTTTATTTTTAAAGAAGTCTGTGAATAGAAAAATTCTCAAGTGAATACAAAATTGAAGGCAAGTCTTCATTTTATACGAAATGTGCCCCATCGACAGCCGCTCTTCGAAAAGTAATTCTTGCAAAGAACACTGAAAATGTTCTCTTCGTAAAAAAAGATGGATGTAATAAATTTATCTTATTGTTAGCAGCGGCGCGCGGTAATATATGCGGATATCCATACGAAACAAGTAATAACAATATCATAGAGTATATATAAATGGCATATTGAATAATAAACTATTTATATTGTACAACGTAACGTGCGCATATGCTTACAAGGTACAAGTTCCTTTTTTTTTAGTCACGCAGCATAGTGCGTTCAATGAAGAAGAAAAACTCCGCCTAATACATTATTTTAGGCGAGAAAACATTATTCGATGACGTTTGTTTCTTATTTCACGTGTGTATTCATTGACCAACGCTATAATGCGTGAGGAAAAAAATGGTCACGCTATATCGTCACATCGATCGAGATTTTTCAGATCGTATTCTCAAGATCACGCGGGAATTATTGAATCTTTGATGCGCAAGAGGAGTTCACAATATAATCGCGATGCCGCGAGGATGTCTCGCTGTTGTAAATTATCATAATTATTCTACGAGTAATTTTACGACTACACAGTTATTATGACGACATGTAAAATCTGCTTAGGAGAATACGAGTCAGAGAAACAATACTTCCCGCAGGCATAATCCGTAAATCTATACGCGCTTAGTCAGCCGACAGTGATTACCTCGGTATTACGGGATGTCGTCCGAGGGATACGTGCGGTCGCGACGTTTCCACTAGTCTCTTAAGAACGAGTTAATTAATCCACCTAATATGGCTCCGTCGGACTAGGATTCAGCGTCAGATCGTATATACATGGATAGAAACGTCGATATGCGGGATCGCGTAAGCCGATCGCGCGCGGGTGCGTCGGTTTCGCGCACTTAGATGGAAATATATATTATATCAATGTATAAACGCTCTAAGGCTTTGGCAGTGAGTTAACAAGTCGATTATTCGGCACGTCCGATAGGGGCAGATGGGTGCGCGCATGATTCCTTCATTTCTCACCTCTCTTTTTCTTTATCGCGAATCCCGCCGGCCATGATTCAGAATCGATATGTGCTATCACGTGTGTCGGAAATACCGAAGAGTCGATTTGGCATCTTAGACGAGCATTCGCAAAACGGATCTTCTTCTTCTTCTCGAGTTGTCGATATGAGGTCCTCTCGCTGGCAGTTGACCGGCCTCCGTGCACGAACGGCAGCAGAACTTCGCGTAATACTTGTGCGTGCAATACTTGGCCGCTACGATAAGCTTGCAATTGGCGAAGAACGTATTATCCTGGCAATGCGGATGAATAAAGATACCTGGCAGAGTTAAAGGGATTAATTAAATAGCTGTAGATATTTTGATGTAAACGATTAAGCGAGAAATGATGAGTCAATTATTCACCTGCAACGCGTATTTCTACGCTGTCGGAACTCGAAGAATATTCGTTAGTCGCTTCGCATCGATATTGACCAGAATCCTCTCGATTTGCATCACTGATGATAAGTCGATTGAGCTCTGAAAAAATAAAAATTTATTATCCTAAAGATTTATGATAACAAAAATGCTACATTATTAATATTAAATTTATACTAAAAATAAAAAATAAAGATTTGTAATTGTTATTTGTTATTTTAAACTTGTAATATTTATAAAAAGAAATTTTAATGAACTGTAGTATTGTGATTTTACCTGAAATCTTTATTCGATTGTCCGTCTGAATAAGTTGATCGTCCTTATACCACAGCACACGCGGAATTGGATAGCCATCCACCTTGCAGGGAAGACTTATATCACTGCCTTCAGGGAATTGCGTTTGCTCCAGCGATACGTTGACTTTGACCGGCACTGTACAAATAAAATTTCTCAACACTCACGTAACATTTCATTCAGTAAGTTATAAATAAAAAATTTTATAAAGCAAAAATATGTAAAAATTTTATTTCGAGTATACTTACTTCAATTTCGCTCGGTTCTACAATATCACAATAAAGAAAATTGTGAATTTTATTAAATTCTGCACATGAAACAGCCAGTAAGCGAGTTATTAACACAGCCACAAGCAAAGTATAAAACACGCATGCAGAAGAAAAAAATGATTAAGAGGAATACACTTGCACCGTCATTGTGTTTATTTGTGAAAAAAATGTAAGGATATTTTCACTGACTTAAAAAATTCTCTACGGCAAGTTTCCAATTTAAAGCAACAAGCTTATTTATTTAACTCAATGATCAGCGCAACGTGACTAGAAAAAAAATTAGTCATCACGTGGTCTCACCTTTGTACCTAGCGGATGGTTCGCCGGTGGTGGTTTCAAGAGGGATAACGTGAGGGATGTGAGATCTTGTGGGATAAGCAGGGGCGTAGGTCTGAGCCTCGGGAGACTGCGTTCTGATGGGTCTGTAAGGATACTGCGGTTTTTCACTGGTGGGTCTTCTCGGGGGTTGAACAAGGTATTTGTTGTACTCTTCGTGTTCGGGTTTAAAACTGAAGACCGGGCCGATCGCCTGCAAGATCACCGACCAGGAGGCCGGTGTGCCGATGCCATTGAACGCCTGGCAGGTGTAAATGCCGAGGCTAGTCAGGTCTACCGAGCGTATCAGAAGGCTATAGTCGGTGCCCTGCTCGAAATTGCTGGAAGTCAGAGGTAACATTTGGTCGCCGCGCCACCAAGTGACGTGTGGCCTTGGCCATCCCATGGCGTAACAATGCAGAGCTATCGGCGAGTTCATCGTCACCGTTATGCGAGTGTCGGGATCGCCAATGATTTCGACGGAGAGCTCGTGTGGTTCTAAAGAAATGCAAGAAAAGAGGCATGCACGACGTTTAGAGACAGAGGTGTTAATCGTGCCATCACCAGGAAAATTGAAAATTAATTGATATCTGTATTAATCAGTGCTAGAAGTATTATGAAACTCATTTCACGGCAGCGATAGTACATTTGACTACAGAACAAACCCACAACAATACACAGATACCGATGTTTCGGCAAACACAAATTATTACTAAATATAAGTAGAAAATTCTATGTTATGTGCGACGTGTGTTATGTGAATGTTAAACATTCACATAAACCAATCAACGAGAGAGACATTCACCAAATTAGTGCAAATTCCACACTATCTAACAGTGTGTTAATGCTATTCTACTCAAAGTTGTGCAATCAAAACCGGTCCTCACAAGGTAAAAAAATAAATTCTTTACGCACCTGTAACATCCAATTGATACTCCGCTCTTACCGGCGGCCCTAAGCCGTTATCAGCAGTGCACACGTAAGTCCCTCGATCGTAAGTGTATAAGTTGATAATCTGAAGAGATCCGTCGAGTAGTATACGCCGCCTTTCCTCGGAAGGTCCAATCTAAAAAATTATGTTGCCGAATTTTACGACTCGAATAATAAGGAATAATTTTCCAATTATGGCCATGAATTCGTTGGTCACATTTTTCTCGAGTATACAAGTAAAATATATTTATTTTGTAATTGTCGCTAGATATGTTACCAATGTAGTATCCTTTCTCCACGTGATGATTGGCCTGGGTGTTCCTAGCGCGACGCATTTTAGCGTGATGTAGCCACCCTCCTGCGCGCTCACTTGCGGCTCCTCGGGCTCTTGAATCTTTGCAGGCTCTCCGCCGTATAGCGGCGGGGTGACAGCGGTCCGCGCCGTTGTCAGGGGTTCCTCCGGCGCGGGTTCCAAACAGGACGTGCCGCAGCCGCTGTTACAGCATTTCCATTCGCCAGTACAATCCGCGTCTGTGACACATTCTTGCTCGCATCTCGTGCTGTTGGACACTTTCGGGCAGCGGCCGGGTTTAACAACTGCAAGAACAATATAATTTTATTTATTTACTTACAGGCAACATCTTTGGACGTAACTACAGTAAAGAATTATTTGAAAAAATAATTGAACGGAAAAATTTTAAACTGAGATTAAAAATGCAAAATATGTTAGTGAAATTGATATCGATACTTGCTTGATTGACAAACGCCGTTGTATTCCGTGCCGTCTTGCGTGGCGACCAACGTAATGGCGCATCGAGTACCATTAGGACAAATCTTCGCCCTGCAAGGATCAACGCAACGGCAGCGTTCGCAATCCTGAGAATCCACGTATTGCTCTTTGCCGTACGGACAACGGATGATGTCACACTCTTCTTTAGCCTCAGCGCATATATCTTTCGAATCGTTCGAGTCCACGTCAATTTCGTTGCTCGCTGTAATTAATTGATTCGAGATATTGAAAAATTTTTACAAAAAAAGCCTCACACAAAAGAAGAAAAGCTATTGATACATAATTCTAGTGACGCATAATTTATATTAGACAACACATTAGCGAAGAAATTTAAGCAATGCGACATTTGAAATCTTTGCATATCATGAAAGATTTCGCACTTTTACAATTTATCTTGAGCATCGGCTACATAAAAGCTTTTAAAAAAAATTTCATCATTATTCATCATAAATCGTATTCTGCAGAAGTTAAGTTTATCGTATTTATGCTTAGTTAAAATTTAACAGTAATCAAAGAAACAATTTTCTATTGTATTTTTAAATATATAAACTTAATTGATTAAGCAGTATATAAGCATTTTTTTTAACGACAGGAATAAAATATAAAGAGGTAAAGGATTGTAGCTAAAACATTACAAGGAAAGCATAAAAGTATATGTGGAAAATATAAAAACACATAAAAATGCGCATGTACAAAGAAGACGACTGCTGTACACAAAGCTGAAAGACTGCAAGATCTGCAAAAACATAAAGAGAACAAATAAATCGTTAGCGATCTCATATTCTGGACTTACTCCTAAGACAAGTGTTAATGCAAGATTCGAAAGTCTTGAATCTGTTGCTATTGCCACCGCATCCGGTATAAATAAACGCCCGGCATGTTTGGTATTCTTCGTCGTAGTAGAATCGCTTGTATGCACCGGAAGTGCAGGATCCGCTGTCGACCGGTTCTTTACAGATCGCTATATCATCATTATAAAACATTATTCTAAATTTCTTAGATTTTCTGTAGTAAACTCGATGGAAGTGTCATGATCGCGCAAATTAATGTATCTCTCGAAGGAATCGTTATTCGAGTAAATGATGAAAAGATAATTAAGTAAATATACGTACACAGATTCGAAACGTTGGTGTCATTTCCAGGTTGTACGGGTTCTTCATGATGTATGCAAATAGACTCGCACTCAGCGATGGTACTGAATCTGTTCGCATTGCCGTCGCATCCGCCGTAAGTGAATTCGCGGCAGGTGCGCGTACTCGGTTCATAGTAATATTTCTGGAAAACGCCTCTGCACGGGCCGGAGTCCATAGGAAGATTGCACATATCTTAAAAATTAAACAATTCAAGGGATGAAAGGAATTACACGAAAATAATTTTTTACTCATATCAAAATTAACACTAACAAACATTCTGAAATTACAACTCACCTTGTCCGTGGAATCTCCCGCAGAGTCGCTCGCACTGTTCTTCGGTCTGGAATCGATTGGGGTTTCCGCCACAACCGCCGTAAATAAACGCTTGACACGTCTGATGTTGCGCATCATAATAGTACGCAGTGATAGAATCGTTGCAACTGCCAGCCTCGACTGGCGCCAAGCAGATCGGGCTCTTTGATTCTGCGACCGGCGGGGCTGTTATGGTTGGTCGAATAACTTCTGTCTGCCGCTTGCATTTCCTCTCGCAGGATTCTTCATCCTGGAAACGATTCTTGTTGCCTTGACAACCGCTGTACTCGAACTCTTGGCAGGAATCGGTGCGTTGATCGTAGTAGAATTGTTTCACGAAGCCGTTGCAAGGGCCGATCACCTTCGGTAATGCGCAAGCATCTGAAATTTTCATAGTTTTTCTTTCGATTATTTTGTAATATTTTCTGGATTCTCGGTGATATTTAGATCCAAGGTTTTGGACAATTTTTCTGTCCTTAATTCTTGTAATTTAGTACCTTGAACCTCTCCGCAGCGGTACTCGCACTCTTCGCGAGTGTTATAGTTATTGCCGTTGCTCTGACAGCCACCGTAACGGAATTGTTTACAAATGCCATCTCGACTGTCGTAGAACCATTTGATCTGGTTGTCGGAACATGGTCCATGCTCGTCAGGCAGGAAGCAGAATTCTGAGATGATCGATAGCAACTCAGTAACCACTATACATGAATAATTTTCAAAGTTGTCCGGAAACATTACCTTTTCGGAATTCTAGTCCCGCCGGAGGCGCCGTAGACAGCGTCTGTTTGCACCTGTTGGTGCAGTCCTGTTCAGTCTGGAAGTTATTCTCATTCCCGCCACATCCGCCGTAATAGTACTGTCGGCACTGTCCCTCGTAGGAGTCGTAATACCATCGTTGAACATAATTTCGACAGTCTCCCATAAGAGCCGGCAGCAGGCAGATGTCTTGCTCTGCGTTCGTGAATTTAGATATTATATTTGTAATGGTACATTATTTCTTTCTTTAAAGAATTCTTTTGCGATCGATCGTAATCATGTAGAATTGTATAGTGCAAAAATCGCAGAAAAGAATTAAGATATTTGTCATTTGTAGAATAGTAATATTCAGTTTAAAAGAAACTTTGAAATAAATAAATTATTATCGTGAAATTAATTGAAAAAATTGACAAAAATATTTATAGAAAATTTTGTAGAGAAATGTGTGATAATATTAAATACAATACGTAATACAACTATATAAATTTTTGTCGTGCTCTGTGCTTTCGTGCACGTAGAAATGTCAGTTTATCAATGCAGTAAAAAAATGTGAAAAGGGATAATGCATTTTTTTCGGTTGCATAATGCTATAAAAAATCACAACGTTTGGAGTAAAAAAAAAAAGATCTAAAGAAAACAAAGTCTTACCGATCTTAGACGGGCAATCAGACTCGCATGCAGATCTAGATTCAAAGTTATTTTTATTGCCACCACAGCCAGTGTAATAGAACGGCATGCAGCGGTTTTCTGATTGATCAAAGTACCATTGAGATTGCTTCTCTGCGCATGTACCCTCCGCCCGCGGCAATGTGCAAATATCTGTTAATCGTATTAATTATTATACCATGCAAAGTTAGATCTGATTAATCAATCCAGTCTCAATTATCTCATTGTCAGCTGTTGCTAATTTGACATTTCTCATTCCTATCGTTAGTCAATCAGTTCAATTGCTATTTAGCAACTGTGATTATGCGCATTCGATTATAGTAAAGCATAATTTATGGAAATCTGTGTATAATTCTTACTCCGTCACCATTGTGTCCATTGATACATTGGGTTATTTAAATTATGAGAAAAAAAAATTAAATTATGAGAATTAAATATTTTAAAATGCAATGTTTAGTAATAGCAACAGTAGAAAAATATGAGTTTTATCTGTCCTATTCTTAAAATGCTTTTTGTTTAAAAAATTCTGAACATTGATTTTATATCAAATTTTTTAATTGGAATGATTTTCAAAATTGTGCAAATAAAAGCGTGATTGTAAAACGAGCATCGTGTAAAAACTAATGCGCGATCGTGAAGCATGATCGCATGACGTTCCGTGTTGTAGCTAGAACGTAATAACGATTCAATGTTGAGTTGTCAATGTGCTTTCTTCTGATAACCATCACCTATAGTGCTAAGTGTGCGCTAAGAAAACGAGAACAACGCTTTCTCGAATCGGAGCAAAGCGATATTGTATTCTCTTCCTTTAGATTGTGATGCGTGATGTTACCACGAAGCAATAAAGTTCTTTTTTTTTCTTTCATTTGTCTATACCTTGTGACGGACAACGGTGCTGGCAGGCAGCAAGAGTACGGAATTTATTGGCGTTGCCTTTACAACCGCCGTAAACAAATTGGCTACAAATGCCACGCTCGGCATCGTAATACCAGCGCAATGCCGAGCCCGGACAGGGTCCGGGGTCTCTCTTCAAGGCGCACACGTCAGACAGTTTTACTGCAAAAGTTCGTCCATCACTGTGCGGTCGAGTCGATCCACGTAACTGACGGTTAGAACTAATATCGGTGGCAAGAGAGTTTCGTATTACTTGAACACGCTCAATGCCAATCATTCTCGATAAAACTATGCCCCGCAGGGCTACCACGGTGAGTTTATTTTAGTTAAAGCTGTAAAAGTTACTCAATTTTTAAACGTTAAGTTTTATCAAATTCTATGAAATTTTTTTCATCTTATAAAATTGCTAATCCTATTGTTTTTATAAATTTGTGTTGATCGAATATATTGTTCGAATAGATGTGATCAATATATTAATATGCGTTTAATTAAGTTATCGATCAGACTTACATTACGAATTACGTTTCACTTGTTAGATAGATTTTGTTAAAAGTAGCAAAATAGCATAGTTTCTAGAAGTATTAAATCGATAGATACCATTGCCAGCATTCCATATTATAATCACTACTATTATGAAAATTGAGAGATATTAATCTTCAAACTTATAATTTTTTTTTTAAATATTGCACAATTTTGTCGACAGTAAAGATTTATCTATTGACTGGTCAAGCACAACTCATAAAATCATATATTATAACTATGATATCGTGCAAACTGAAAATTTACATAAGTAAAATATGTAGAATTCTAACACATACAACAAATAAAAAAAGTAACAAAGAAAAAAATACATACCTTTTTGTCGGCCTGGCTGTAAGCACTGCTGATGACAAGCGACTTCTGTGGGGAAGTTGTTGTCGTTCGCTTTGCAACCACCGTAATTAAATTGCTCGCAAGCCTGTGATTCTCGATTGAAGTACCATCTTGTGAAATTACCTGCGCATGGACCTTCTTCTTTCGGCTGATCGCAAGGTTCTAAATAAAATGTAAATAATAGACTTAACTGTTCATTAGGTCTGCAAATCCTAAGGCAAAATATGTTTTACCTAATTTCAAAGTCAAATATATAAAAACAGGAGTAAATACACTTTTACAGGCAAAATAATTTAAATATGGATAACTTTTATCATTACGGATACACGGCGGCTTACCAATGTTATCCGGCGTGACGCAAAGTTCTTCGCACTCTTCTCTAGATTTAAACTTATTAGCATTTCCAAGACAACCGCCGTAAATAAATTGACCGCACTGCTTCCTACCGGAGTCAAAATACCACGTCGGATGATATCCTTCGCAAGGACCAGCGATCTTCGGTAAAAAGCAAGCAGCTGCAAAATAAATCAGAAATTAACTGTTTTAATATAACACTTTAGAATATTTTCTTTATGTAATTGCCAAAAATTTGTTTTTAATCTGTAAATTTATAAAAAGAGAAAATGTATATAAATCTAAATAATTTTATAACGCGATAATATGAATTATGAGTATTCCACTTTTTTATTTATTACATAAAATAATCTTTTTATACAGCTACCTTTTCCTTTGGGCTGAACGCAAATCTCTTTGCACTCTTCCTGTGTTTTGAATCGATTCTCGTTACCCTCGCAACCACCGTACCAGAATCTCGAACAACCGCCGTAATCGGTGTCATAGAACCATTTGACCGTGAAGTCCCTGCAGGAGCCTCTGTCTTTCTTCAAGCCACATGCGGCGCCAGGCATCGAAGGTACCGTAGGACAACCCTCAAAGTTTTCTCCTTGAGCTTCCTCGATTCCGTCTGGACAGCATCCATACTTTGACGCGTCGCAAGCGCATCCGGCAAAGTTCGGTCCTTCGGCCGGAGTTCTGTTATCCGAACAGCATCCGTATTTTGTATTCTTGCATCCGCAGCCTGTGAACATTGCACAATAAATTTCATTGCATAATGTGTTACTTATTTGTTTAATAATAATAAAAATTATTGTATTTTATAGTTATTTATTTAAATAAAAAGTTAATTAATTTTTGTATTTAATTTTTTATTCTAACTAGACACACACAAGCGCACTTGATCTTTTACTTTTTATCATACTTTATCATTTTTTTAGAAAGATTTTCTTATTCTTTCTAAATCTACATCAATTAATCTAATGGATGGAGGGAATAACGAAATCAATAAGTGAAAAGAACATCATTGGAACAACCGGAAAGAATGAAAACTGAGACTACAGCGGACAACGTCGTAAGACGTCATAAACCGAAGGCTATATATATTTTTCATTCTTTTTAAAAGCCGTATTATTTTTAACAATTTAATTTTATAAATGTATGCATATTGACTACCTTGACCATGAGAGCCTTTTGCGATGGTAACGCCGTCGGGGCAGCATCCGAACTGATAAGTATAGCACGGGCATCCCTCGAAATGCGGTCCGCTCGCGGGGGTGAATCGGTTCGGGCAGCAACCGTGAGTTGTGTATTGACAGCCGCAACCTTCGTTGTTTGGTCCACGCGCTACCGTCGAGTTATCCGGACAGCAACTAAATCTTGTATACTGGCAACCGCAGCCATAGAAGTTCGGTCCGCGAGCCGGCAGAATGTTATCCGGACAGCACTTGTATGGAGTTGATAAGCAGCAGCCCTCGTTGTTCGGTCCGTGCGCCGGCGTTACACCATCCTCGCAGCATCCATGAGCACTGTCATGACATGGCATGCGACAGCCATAGTTGTCTGGTCCAAGAGCTGCGGGAATATGATCACAAATGGTTTACATAATATATTCAGAGTTCGTCTATTTATCTTAGAAAAAAAAATTAATTATATTTTTTGTGGGACTTTTATTCTGAAATATTATTTCAGTTAATATTTTAGAATATTAATAATTTACAAAATTATCAATATTTTCTCCTTACTTAAATGACGAATTTTTTGCTAATTAATTGTTTTGAAAAAATAATTTCATATAAAATTTGTGATTTGTGTATTATCAATTTTTATACCTGCGGTAACTTCATCAGGACAGCATCCAAAGTAGGATGCGCTGCAATTTTCATTGTTAATGACGCCGCATCCCGCGAAATTCGTGCCGTTTGCAATGGTGATACCATCGGGACAGCAACCGTAGGTGGTGTTTACACAGTCTTCACTCGACATTGTTGTTACGTATATCTCCGTTTGTGATGTTTCAGAAGTGACTTCTTCGCAACCTTATTAGAATATATATCGTAGTCAGTGAAACTATATATAATAAATATATTTCAAAGTGTACGGATAAAATAAATACCTTCGCCATCAGGACCGGAAGCGACTCTAATATTGTCTGGACAACAGCCAAACTTGGTAACATTACAACAGCCCAAATTATCTTTTCCGCTAGCTGCAGTCTCATTGTCTGGACAACATCCAAACCTAAAATTCAGAAATAATTAAATTCAAAATTTTTAACATTTAAAATAACTTGCATTTAAATAATAATATGTAAAAATATCGTTAAAGTACAAAAATTAAAGAAAAAAATTTATTAAAATAAAATATAATTATTAGTGCATAGAAAATGCATAGAAAAAAATGAAAATAACGTAAGATAAAATCATTTGAAGTGATTATTTCACAAAAATATGAAAAACTAACTCTGTTTCATTGCATGGTTTCGTGCATCCCTCGTAATCATTGCCTTGCGCCGTAGTGACGCCGTCGGGGCAGCAACCGAAGAGCGATTCGTTACAATGAGAGGCAGGGCAACCTTTGTTCTTCGAACCGGTGGCTGGCGAAACGCCATCGGGACAACAACCATATCGTGTTTCGTTACACGTCTGCGGTGTCGGGCAACCTTGACCGAACGGTCCCTGAGCGGCGGTGATGCCGTCGTAGCAACATCCGAACGGCGTCTTCTTGCAATTCTTCCTCGGTTTGCATTGCCGCTTCGTAGTTCCGGGGAAGATAGTCGTCCATATCTCGGTGACTAAAATTAAAAATTTGGCATTAGCAGAAAAAGCAGGCATTTTATATCGATTTTATATCATTTCATATCGATAACTTTACCGTGAGTTTTGTCAGTAAGATCGGTTTCTCCGCTGATCGTGGAGAATGTAACTTCTGTCTCGGTGGTCTCCTCGAGGGACGATGTTGTGGCCGATGATTCGGTCGTTTCACCGGACGCAGTGGTCTCGCCCGACTCGGTTGTCTGTCCAGATTCTGTGGTCTCGCCCGATTCGGTCGTCTGTCCAGATTCAGTAGTCTCGCCAGACTCCGTCGTCGCACCCGATTCTGTCGTCGCGCCCGGTTCGGTGGTCGCAGTTCCGCCGGATTCCGTTGTCTCAGCTGATTCCGTGCTAGCGCCAGATTCAGTGGTCTCTCCTGATACCGTGGTTTGTCCCGATTCGGTTGTTCCGGTTACTTCGCTGCCGGTAGTTTCGGTCTCATCCGACGAGCTCGTTCCGGAAACAGTCGTTTCTTCCGTATTGCTAACTGTTGTAGTGACATCGGTTCCTTCGGTGGAAGCCGAGCTTTCTGGCGACGCCGATGTAACGTCATCGTCTTCGCCTTTCTCCGGTTTGTTGGTGCCCTCGCCTGGTATTTTTTCATCGGTCGTCAGTTGGGAAACTTCGGTAGTCGTCACTTCAGTTTCTGTGAGAGAATATTATATTGTATTTTGCACCTTTGACTTAATAATAATCGCAATTATTTAATTTTACATTGATAACCAAATATAAGTTGCATCTCAATTATATACAAATCGACTAAAAACTTGTAAAATATGTCACAAATTTGAAATTCAACAATATATATTAAAGTAATAAAAATAGTAAAATTTAAGGATATAATATGTTTCAAGTTACAAAATATCAAACTACAAAGAACAATTTTGCATATCAATAATTACCGGATGCAGTGCTGGATTCCGTAGTCTCGTCACTTCCAGTGGTTTCTGTTTGTTCCGTATTTGTGGTCTCCGTCTCTGACGAGGATGTAGTTGGCGGGGATTCCGTGGATTCAGTCGTGTCTGTGGATTCTGTGGTATCGGTAGTTGGCGTCGTCTGCGTTTCCGTCGAATCGGTTGTTGCCGTACCAGTAGTATCCGTATCCGTCGTTTCAGTTTCCGCAGAACCGGTAGTAACATCGGTATTAGCCGATCCGGTCGTTTCGGAGCCAGTCGTCGCGTCGCTGGACTCGATTGTCGATACCGAACTTTCAGTGATGGTTGATACGCTCTCCGCACTACTAGCGGTTTCGCTGGAGGTAGTAGCGGAAGAATCCGTCGACCCTTTCGTTACCGCCGATTCAGTACCTAAACAATTAGTAGATACATAAAGCAATACAGATTTTAAAAGCAATGTATACACTAAATGGCTTAAATAAATGCAACACACATAGCAATAATAACACTATCTTAAAAACTGCAATAAATATATCTGACAAAAAACGTACTGCCGGATTCTGTTACAGCCGATGTTTGAGAGCTTTCTGCTGTAGTTTCATCTGTTAATGTATCTGTAGATGCACTTGCGCCAGATCCTTCCTCAGAACTTATGCTAGACTCCTCTTCAATGGTAGTCCCGGATCCTTCAAACGTTGTATCAATTCCTTCGGTGATATCCGACGATTCAGTCACTTCGGTCCCGAATTCTGTCGTACCGGTTTTGCCTTCCGTCGTAATTCCACTTGCCGGACTTTCGCTCTCGATGGTGGAGTCAGTATTGCTGCCGCTAAACAAGTCGGTGCTAAGCATGGTAAAATCGTCGTCGCCGCTGCCCTCGCCGCTACCGAGCTCGGAAGGCGATATATCGCCTCTCGTTGAATCGCTAAACATGGTACTGTAAATATCACTTTCGCTAAACGGCTCACTGAGGGGTGTCACTTCCGTTTGATCGATTATTTTGCTTGCTTTCTGAAACGAGAAAAAACGCTACAATATTGCGACTGTCGCAATCGTTTCGTCCGGTCCGCGTAGATACGAAATCGAACAAGAATTGCATTGCCGTTCCGCGTGTAAGAAAAGGTCGATTTGATTCTAGTCCGAGATGGCTCTTTGAAAGGGCGGAACAATAAGAAACGAAGTTACGAAGTAACTCAGTCACGCCTGATATTCGATTAGGTGCGACACGATCCAGTTTCGCTTACCCCCGCTGGGAGAGCGCCTTCAATGGCACCTTTTTCTTCCTCTTCCTCCTCGTCTTCACACTCCTCCTCCTCCTCCTCTTCCGGTTTCTCTGTTCCATCGGCGATTGGTGTCACGCCTACAAATATGCCCCAACAAAAGAACAAACTTATGTAACTTGTAATTTCTACAACTCGTAATGAGTTCGCAATTCGGACTATAAAAGTATGCATGTGGAAGGATTTTTTTAACACAAAAGAATTTCATGCGTGTATTTTATTCCTTGTTGACTAGCTTCGAAAGCGCGTCGGAGATTTAATTTTCCTTGTTATAAAGGGTAGATGACATTATATTCGCGGTTGGTGGTGCGTTCGCCTTTTAGAACGTGGCAAATGCTAAGACATTTGAGTTTAATACCACGAACCTCATTATTTTCACGCCTGCTGTTCTAGACACATTCAATATTGTATGCTGACGTACCGGTTTATAATAAAGAGGGATTGAAATCATAATGTAAATCATACACCCTGTGTTATGATGAAGCAAATATTAATGTCTGCTTTATTATCTCCAACGGTGAAAGTAGTAATATGCAAGAGATTTCATGATAACAGGAAAATGGATTCTATTTCTCAAATAAGATATCTTAAAGAATAATTTATTTTTTCTTGAAAAAAATAATTTTATACTTATAAAAATTAATTGAATATATAATTTTTAAAGATTTAAAGTTTGTTAAGCAATTATTTCTAAGGTAATATTAATACACATTTTTTTCTAAATTATTTATTTAAGTGCTATTCCGTTTTGTTTAAAAATTATTTCTCTTGCAATTGTTCTTCAAACATGAAAGCATTTCTTTTAAATATGAAAGTTAAACTTGCTAAAATCTTACCTTCTTCGCAAGGTTGATCATTGCACTTTTCAGAGGAGAACATGATGGTGTCGGCGTTACATTGGCTCACAGATACTGTCTTGTTATCCTGCATGCAAATCACCTTACGGGTCATGTCACCGCCACCACATGGCTGCGAACACTGCAACATATTGCAACATGATTGACGACATCGTTAATTACGCTTTGAGAAGATTTTGTTAATAAGTTTAGCGATTATAAAGCTGTGCATAAACTAAATTTCAAGTTATAAAATATGCAAAAGCCAATGAGAATAATTGTAATTAGGATACAAGAGGCTTAGAAAATCATAATGTCCAAGTAATTTATTAATTTATTAAAAAAGAGTATTATGTTTTAAAAAACATAGTAATTAAACATAGAGACAAACCTTGCTCCAAGGTCCTGCGAACCACTCGCCTTTGCATGGCTCCTTGGCGGTACAATTTTTGGTATCTTCAAATTTATTTTCAGGATCGCAGTTTTCATCCGGAACTTTCTTCACAGTATCATCCTTGAAAGTGCCACAGAACACTTTGCGCGTCTGAACGCCGGATCCACATTTTGCCGAACACTGTAAAATTATTAATAACAAGAAATATAATTAGAACAAATTTTACAATTTAATTAAAAATTCGATAAGATTCGGATTGAATTCGCATTTAATTCGAAGGATAAAATTAAATATGTTTAGCTGAACTAGTTTCAGGATAAAGAAAATAGGTAGAAATATTTATATTAATATTATATTTTTACTTACCTCGCTCCATTGCGAGCTATACCATAGAAAGTCGCAATCTTTGGCTTTCTCGCACTCTCTTTCCAATTCTGGCTTCTTCTCGACGTCGCACAAGTCATCTGAATAAACTGTACCGTCCTGGGTAGCGCACTGGGCTGTTCTGGTTTCTTTGGTAAGATCGCATTTCTCTTCGCACTGTTAAGAAAAAATTTTCGAGTTATATATATCCAGGCAAATTGCCAAGTAAAAAGAAGCAAATGCAGAAGTCTTTTATTTAATAAAAAGTTATTTATTAAGAAGACTTACTCCGCTCCAGTCCGAAGTAATCCAATCGAGACCAGCGCAAGGTCTTAGCTCGCAAGCTTTCTCACGTTCAGGCGCTTCTGTTTCGCACGCCTCATCTTCCAATACATCGATTTTGCCGTCGATCTTTCTGTAGCATGTCACTGTTCTGGTTTGCTTACCAGGTCCGCATATATGATCACACTAGGAGAAACATTTATTTTTCACAATGCGCGTTTGCTTTCCAAAATAATAGAAATAATAATAAAATATAACTATGCATATATTTTGAGAAGTATGAGAATTATACCGGTGAGAGTTAATACCAGAGTTAATTGTAATATTTTATCATAAAAAATCTAAATCAAGTGGCTAATAGTACATAAATGAGAAAGAAAGGTGGTAAAGCGGTAAGGCCCTTTTCCTAAAACCGTAATTTAATGTCACCGTGGGCGGTAATGTAGTAACTCACGGGCTTCCAGGGCCCCTCGTGCCATTGCGGACAATCCACGTCTCTGTTGCATTCCTGTTTGGTAGATCCCTTCGGCCCCACCTTTTCCAGGCATTGAGAGTCATCTACCACGGAAGCTATCCCACCCCCGAGGACCTGCTCGCATTTGATCTCCCTGGTCTGCTCGCCCCCCTCGCCGCACTGTTTCGTGCAAGGAGTCCATGGACCTTCCACCCACATGGCCGGACACGGATCCTCGTTGCAGCTTTGCGTGTCAGCCGGTTCCAATTGCGGATCGCACAGGTTCTCATCCACCTGCTGATTGTCGCGCCTTCGCACGCAGGCCACCCGTCTTGATTGGTAGCCTTAAAAGATAAATAAAGCGTGGAATGGATCTAACATCCAAATGTTATTTCAAAAGAAATGAGGAAATGAATTTTTTATGGCTGATGGACGATCAATTTCTATTTGTGTTGTGTTAAAAATTTCTATTTCTATTTCAATGTAGTTAAAATTTGATTAGCGAAGTTCATTATTTTTATTATATTCTATTTTCGCTGCTATATATGCGATAATTAATTAGTTATTTTAAAGCATTTATAAATATTCTAATATCAATCATAGTCGAAATAAAGCAAAAACTATTCACTAGTAAAATATTTACCTAACATTTTTAAATAAATAGATACATTTAATTTTTTAATTTTTTACTCATACTCGTATTTCTTCTAAACATTTGCGCGCAACAGGTAAAGTATTGTTTGCTCCGACAAGAAAATACGATGGATTTGAGAAGCTACGGTTTAATCGCATTAAAGTGATAATCCTATAATACCTCTGCCGCAACTGGTGCTGCAACTAGAGAATTCGTCGGTTACCCAAGTGTAGCTATCCGGATCCGTGCGCGTCGAGAACTTCTTCGGTATACTGTACTCGTACTGCACACCCACGTTGCGATCTTGGTAGAGTAACTGGGAAAAAGAAGTCTCTCATTAATATACTCTTTGCTCTAAAATTTTCACTGATAAAAAAATAAATTAATAAATTAAAACAATATACTAACCACGACATAAATGGGTTCGTTCGTCGGTCCCAAGGCGGTGATAGTATCAGGTGCTGCAAATCCTTGGGGATTTCTGGCATAATGGAAGGTCGTGCCAGAAAAGCGTAAGCTGCGAGGAAAGTCTATCCTCCAGTTTCCGTTTAGATAATAATGTCCCGAAGTGTTGCGTATGGCTAAATAACAACGTTTAATATACAAATATTTGGAAGCAACATTGATGTATAAAATTGATATAATTCAGACAATTAGTTCATACATTAAATATTATATTAAATTATATATAAAAATTAATATTTATATAAATTTTTACTTTGTTTACTCACCAAGATAATTGTTTGACGGCTGTATTTCTCTTATGGCGATATTTGTCGCGCCTTCAGGGATAAGCAGAATATCGATGTAACCTGAAAGACGCATAACATTTCTCTATTATATCAATAAATAATAGAGATACAGAAATAGTTTTATAGAGTAGCTAAAAATTCCTTTATTCCTTGATCAAAATAGATATATCGACTGCACCGAAATAATCTTCGCTCGCTGGAAAATTATTGCACAGACTAAAATTACTTTTAATAATTATTCATCAACGAAAATAACTTACCCACTTGGAGATCATCTGTATCGAATGAGCCTGTAACGGTATTGCAATCTGAGCCATCACCCCCGCATTCTCTGCACGCGTCTTCTCTTGCATCGCTACCCAACATCATATCGCATCCGACGTGCTGACCAAAATAAATTTATCGTAAAATTTATCATAATACGCTGCGTTTTATCTTTCTTATCTTTTGTTTAGACTCAAAAATTTATTATTCAGCAAAAGTGAAAATATTTGGACTAAAATAATTATACACTATCACAAATTGATAATAATAGTTAATAATTAATTGATAATAATAGTTAATGTTTCAATATACAATTACAACTCACCATGCATCTGCCTTCGACGCAAACATCGTTCTTTTCAGCTTCGCAAGGAGTGCCGTCGACCACGGAGACTTTGTGCCTGTAGAAGAATCGCTCGCCGCGCGGCATACAATTCAGTTCGCATTTATTCGGACTTCCGGTGTACGGAATCCAACTGCGAAAATAAATCATATTGCGTAATTAAAAACTAATAAAAAGTAATTGTTAAAAGAAATAATTACACACGTTAAATCGATAAGTTACTGTTACCTAGTTAGTCTTTTATCATTTAAGTTGATTTTGTATCAAATAAAAAACAATCACTGACAAAAGTATACATAATTTTGATGAATAACAGGCCATCGTTCCGCGTTATATGTTCGTGAATTAAGGCGTTTGTATCATTTGTATTCCGCTCTTTTGATGGAAACTTTTAAGTTCCTTTGACTGCTCGATTCACAATGTACGACGGAGAAAGAGTACCCATAAATATGATGTCTCTTATTAAAAGGCGATTCAAGCGACCGCAGATTATAGGGCGAAGGGACGATCATTAGGCGATGTCAAGGGCCACAAAGAATTCCGTCATCGTCTCGCGTTAGAGCGCCGATCGTAAATCACCGTCACGGTACAACGGTAATCTCGTTTCACGAATTCGACAGAATTTCCAGTTGAATGAGCATTGATAATCATGGTGTTATAGCTACGATACTCACTCATAATACACTCCCTCGAAGGGCACGTTGTTGAACTCCGCGCACTGCTCCGCTCGGAAATCCGTCTGCTCGCCGGGACACTCCTGGAAAAAGTGTATAATTAGCGATTTTCGAATTTTTTCACGGTGACGTTTCCACAGCGCACACATCGTACTTAATAAATTCTAATGTCGAGTAAACGATAAACAAAAGGATTCCGGATTGCGAGCTTGTGGCGGTCTCGATTTAATCTCGAAGAGGCAAATTGAATTACGGAGAATCCGTAAGATCCTCCCGGATAGCATGCGGAAATTCAAAGAACCGAGCGTAATTCACTCACGGAATTTTACGGTATTTCACGTTGATTGTATTGAGAAATTCTTGTTGCGCTCTTGTTGCGTTACAGCGAATATCGGTCAACGTAGTAATTTGAAGTATGGAACGAATAAAAGACGAAATGCACTTTTACGAGAAATAACTCAGCTGTGGTCGGCTTTTGATGTACATTTGTCGTCGACAAAGATAAAGCTGCGCGGCATGATAATTACTGGTCTGCAAACCTGCTGAAATAAAAAAAGCGGCGCACAGTGCAAATTGCCGCTTGAAAAGCTTAGGACCTTCATGAAAGTGAGTCGTGCGCACTTTTTTCCGCCGTGTTCGACTGCGTTTTCATGCCCTCGTTTTGCCGACCTCGAACTCGAAATAAATTCTTGTAGTAGATAACAAGCTTTCGTACGCAAAAAGATACAAGTTAGAGCACAGCCGGGAAAAGCGTCTCGTCATGGTATGAAATGAGACCGGAGGAAGGCGTCATTCGAGGACAGAAGGGTCCATGTCAAAGCATCGGTTTAATGTTCCTATTTTCTGGCTAACGGTGTCCCTTTCATTAGGTCAATTTGGTTCATCGATTTCGTTCTCATTCAACGAACATAATGAAAAGGCAGAAAGTTTAAATATTTAATAAAAAAGGGATTTATTGAATTTAACGCACTTAACTTGCTTCTCATTGTCACGATTTTATTCGTAAAATGTTCAAATCATTCTTGATTAATATTCATGTCACATTTATGCTAATCTACTGGTTACGATAGTGCTGTCATCTGAAAGGTTTCTTTCTTCTTGAAATTGTAAAATGAGCGCGTGCTGTCGTGCTATTTCGTGAATAGTCCACAAAACTGAGATGGCCCACAGATGGACGCTGCGCGGAGGGCAGACCCGAGGGGCAGGTAATGTCGATAAATCGAGTGGAACGCGAGCAAAAACGAAGAAAAGATACCCCGGCGGGACCGGTACCACGCACAAGGATACGACGCGGGATTTATGGCGGGAGATTTCTTGCGGACGGAATGAAACGCTAGGAAAAGGGTGGCAGAACATGAGGGTTGTCAGAGTAACGAGGAAGAGAAGGGAGAGAAAGGAAGAGAGACAGCGACGAGCCATGTTCAGGAAAAAGTTTCAGGTTGGTCGAGCGATGTCGCGTATGACGAATGTTGCCAATCGTAGCGAGCCGTGAAATTTATAAGGGATTATTTCGGGGTCACATTGCAGGCGAACGATTGACCTCGCTCGGTCTCCACGGTGTATTTCGAATGTCCTGGATTATTTAAATCTATTGCTCTTAGGAGAATGTTCTCGAGAACGGCGGATTACGTCCTGTCGCATCTCGTGACCCTTCTCAAGAACGCATCGTCAACAGCACCCTTCCTCTCCTCGGAGGATGAGCTGGAAAAGCCGGAAATACACAGAAGATAGCTTCTATACGTGAAAAACAAGTTGTCGCAATATGCGCGTTGAAACGTTTATTTTCTTGTGAATTTTAATCAGAAAAAATAATGAGAAGTTTAATTGTCCGTTCTAGCAAACAATGTGTATGGTTATTGAATATTGAAAAATTGTTGAAAAATTTCAAATAAGTATAAACGTTATTTTTTTAAAAATATTCTTAGATTATATAAAAGATAAAATTATTATTATTAAATTGATGTGAGTTGTCCTTATTGGCTCTGAAAACTGATGCATCGTATATCACTATTTCGTCGCAACCATACAATTCCTTTGGAAGAGGATGATTTATCCTGGAGAAGACAGCAGGGTGGAACCGCAAATGGACAAGGAAAGAGTACATGGGAAATAAATTATCGAAATGCTGGCAGGCGGCTGATATCAACGTTTCATTTACCGCATATTTCTAGATAAGTAAAATCAGTAGTAAATTTTAAGAATTTCCGAATTGTTATAAATTATGTAAGAATACTTTTTTATTCCAAATAATTATTATATTATGCATATAACATCTTTTTTCAATTAAATTTTTATTAAATTTTTATCAAAAAAAGATTGTCCGCTATAAAAAGTCGTCATGTTCGCATATGTTCCACTTACTTTTGCACGTAAAACGATACCAGACGTGAAAACATTCGGCTCGAATTAAACACAAAGATTCGCTATATTAAACCGCCGTCGACCACCCACGTGTATTAAAGATTAAATCAAATTCCCCATTGATATCGTCCTTAGAGAGTCATGAATATATTTCAGGCTAAGAAAAGAAACGTTGTTCGCGAAAGCTGTAACTTTGTGAAATGCGCGTAGAAATGCTTCGATTAAATTTCTGATTAATGATTCATTTTATTTAAAAAAATCCGATTGTTATTTTACCTGACCAACATTGAGAACAGAAGATTACGAAATGATTATGAAAAAATATTTTTAAATTTTACTGGTCGCTAAAAAATTTTGCAATTTATATAAAAGTTATATATAAATATTTGTATATAAATAATTTTAAAAAAGTAATATATATTACAATTTTTAGCTGAATGTAACTATTACTGTTTGAGGAAATAGATACTAAAGCATTCCACTGCACTGCGTAGCGGTATAGTGTTATTCGTTTCAGTTAGCACTTAGCTCTAACGAAGTTAATGCTTTGTGAGTCGATGCTGCATAATGGGCTTCCGTTTATAAATCTTCCGCAATTCATCCGAGAACCGCTGATGCATCACATGTTCAGAGGCAATTTCGGTGGTTATTTCAGTATATTGAAATCAATTGCATCAACATTTCTTATCATTGCCTTGTATTCTTGTTGAAATATACAAATAATGTATTATATAAATTACAACTGTTTATCGTATCAAAATTAAATATATTGATATCATAAGAATAAAAAAGAGGATTTAATAAATAATTGTAAAAATATATTAGAAAAGATATGTTTGATTGATATCTTTTTGTAATTTTCTATCAAACCCTTATTTATCTTTGTATCTTTATATCAATCTTTATAACTTTCAAACATTTCGAATTGTTTAAACAGCTTATGAATTTTGCATTAAAAAAAGTAATCCAAGGCGTATATTTTAAAAAATTTTGATATTTATAAAATTTATAATTATATGCATCGGTGATTATGAAAGTGGATTAAGTCATTTTGGTGATTTTTTTATTTTGAGATATTTCGATTTTATAAATCAAAATAACAAAATAAGTGATAAAATCAATTTTTCAGGATTTTTTATTTAATACACTTTTATAATCACCGACATATATGTTTAAATTAATATTACAGATTTTGAGTTAAATAATGTTCGAAGCATTTTGTATTGTCTATTAAACTCATCAATAATCTGAGATTTGTTAAATTGATATTTTACAATGTAATAAATTCTTATTATGTCAGTTGTAGTACATTTTAGCAACATTCTTTTAACACTCTTTTTCTTGTGATTGCGTAACTACAGTACGTTAAATTTCCCGACGAATAATTTTTATCGAAATAATTTTCTCCCTCGCTTTCTGCGCGTGATTAAATGGTCTGACGGGTTGACGGTAAAAAATATGAGAAAGAAAGGAAAAATGCCGTCGGATTCTAATTGCAGTTAATTAATCATAATTTCCCTATAAGCCGCAAAAGCGAGAGCATCATGGAAATGTCATCATAAATTTTTTAGAATTTAAACGGATTTCTTGATATCACGCTGCATTTCCATTCTATTTTACGCTTGAACTTAAATTGGAAATTATATTTTCAAGATTAATGTAACGTATTGTTATTTTGATTGTAATAAAGAATGTTTTAACTTTAAAAAGGAAAAGTTGTCACTTTTTGTTAAGTTCAATCGAGGAAATTATAATAGCTGGCGAAGTGTTTCCGCCAGCAAGGCGAGACGAAGTTGATCACTGTTAGGTCGACGTGAATACTCAGAGAAATTAAATTAAAGCCGAAGAGTCGAAGAATCCGATGAGAATCTTTCACAAAAATTTGCATAATTGCTCTTAAATTTGCAGTTAAAAGTTTGACTTCGGTCACAAGAATTTGACTTATTAACATAAAAAAGAATACTGATTTCTACGTTAGTTTTTAAAAACAAAATAAATCGATAAAATATATTTTTTACGATAGAAAAATTGTTGGCCAAATTTTTCAAAGTATTAAGTTCATTACATATTTACATTACTGATGGTGCGAAGTAAAATCGCAACTTGGCTTGCCGCAACGATAAAGAGTAAACGTTTGCTTAATGGTCCGCTATCGTTACCGCATAACGCACCACTCCACCCCGAGCTTTTACCGAGCAAATCACGAGCACTTACGTAATAGGTTGCCAAGAAGAGAATCTGTTAAAGTACAGATAACGTGCAGGTGGGATTACCGAGCCTGTAAAATCTTTCTGTATGCTCAGTTAAAACAGAGATTTTGAGCGCCTATTTCCGTTAAATTATTTATAAAAAAAAAAGTGAAACAATAGAAAAAAAATCCTATATCACATCTACATATTCACGAATTTGTGATATTTTCTATGTTTCCTATATTTACAGTACGTTCTCGTTACTCGGTCTCGTCGGCTCGGTTTACGCGAATCCGCTTATGCACAACGAACAAAGTAAAGAACTTAACGCATCAGCGAGTGTCCTATAATTCCTCGAAAGCACATAAACGAGTTTTGAAAAAAGCGATCCCGATTTATGCAAACATTTAAAAGAGTTTGTTTATTATGTGCATGTGTGACGGCAATGCAATGCGTGTGCTCATTTAACAATAAATTATTAAATTTCGTAAACATATCTTGTTTCTTAGAAATTTTAATTATTTTTTTTTAATTATCTTTCAATTTGGATGAACTTTTGCTGCAAACGATAACGTGTGTCAAACGGTTTCCTTCAAAGGCGTACGTTCTCTTTGAAAACGCGAATGAAGAGGGATTAAAAGTTTATAGTGGCAGTAAAGATCGTTCTTAAAGCGACCACACTAAATCCTCGCCGAGGATACTCGAGGGTGTGCTCGGGTGTATGTCGTGAAAGTTAAAAGCACGGGAACCCCATCCGAGAGTCGTAAAAACGCGAGACATACATATGCGCTCGTCCCGTTTAAAAGGACAGACTTTTAGTACGATAAATGGGCTGACGATGTGAGGTGATTTGCTGAACATCGTTGAAATGTCGCTTGATATAGTCAGTGAATGCGTGACACCTATATTATACGTAAATGATAGATGTAAATATGAGAGAAAGATTTTAATTCATTACAAACACGCATTAAATAAAAATCAACATTTGATTAATTACTTACTTTGTGTATTTTAAATTTTGTAATAAATGTATAATTATCATGTGTCTTTTATAAGATATTGCAAAAATTATTAATTAATAAATATTTTTAGGATAAAATCATACAGCTCTGCTTGCCACAAGTCGCGGTTATGTTGTACCTAAATTACTTTCACACGCTTTCCAATTTTAGTAAAGAAATTAACAATCTAATCTGTTAAATCTATTTAGCGATAATTGAAATAATTTCTAAATTTAAATGAACTAGATACATTGAAACTGCTGAGTTCGGAGATCAACGACGTAACAACGGCCAGCTAAGAAAAGACCGATTTAAATAACGACATAAATCATATCATTAAAGACGTGTTACTCATTGATTTATATTTCAAAGGTTGAAAGTAGGCGTTCCGCCAAAAAGATGTGCTGTAAGCGAATGAATCAATCATTCTCCGAGACTGAGGAACGAGTAATTTGCGGATTAATCGCGATTTTCCGCATCGATAAGTCATCGAACTTCATCGTTGTACCTTGTTACTTTTTTTATGTATATAACGACGTGTAAATAATAATTAATATAACAACGTGTAAGAAATCGCACATGAAAAAAAAAGAAGAAGCGAAACTTTGACTCATTGATTTCAGTTTGCTTGCAGATGTGAATAATTGAAGCGCGCGTCACGTGTCTGTGCCCCGAGGACCTTTGATAGACTGTCAGGCTGTTCGATCTATTAAAGCACATCGCATAAATCATTCCCTGTTACACGGCAATTAATCAAGTTCCAGATTGTACTCGACTCACGTAGCCCACGGCATTCCCACGACGGAGTCTTTTTGTATTTGACATTATCACGTTGCGGAAGACGATGTGATCGCCCGCATCCAGCGAACGAATTTATCGTTCGCAGATAAAATAATTGATACAGTTTGAAGTTGTTATTAAGAGCTGCAGGTTTTTAGTACTCACCTGAACATTACACGAGAAGAATCTCCTGGCAGCGCCCGTACACCTGTCATGACCACTGTCACTGTAACACCACAAAATAGATATATTACTTTTTTTGGTAAAACGAAAATTTCAAAGTAAAAATATCACAATATTTTCATTATTTATACATGTTTTTGTATATTTATAATTATTTATAAAGCAATAAATATTATTATTTAAATTTCAATTAAATGAGATCTATATGTTTTTATCAACACAATTGAAATTAGTGAACAGAAAATTTGACACAGCTAAAAACAAATTTTCTGTCACTATGCCAAATATCTTCAATGTTTTATCAAAATATTTGTTACAAAATAAGTTACAATGTTTTAATTCCTACTTAATATATTTCTATAATTTCTATAATTGAATTTTATAAACATTTTTATAAATACACTGCGTGTTTAAAGAAAAGCGCATTCGCGCTTGATGCTTAGCATTTATTTTTGCGCTTTATTGAAATATTTTATAGTTTATCCATCTATAATTATTAATAACAAAGTATTTCTTTTAGAGTTAAAGTTATTGTGAAATTATATTGTGTCATATAAAATTAAATCCGTACACAAAGTGAATTTTTCTGATTTATAATTTGCGGATGTAAAACAGGATATGTACTAAAACGGCAATATAAAAAAGTTTGTATACACGTTGCTGTGTAGTTTCAACTCTAAAATGGATTATGGAAGCAATACTGGACAGAGATCGATAAACATTTCACGAAAAACGTCGCTCTCTAGGGCTTTTCTCTGGTTTCTATCTATACCACATCAGTTTGGAATAAAAAGAATGAAACGTTCCGCGATTAATCGCGTATCTTATAAAAAATACATATCCATAAAATATCCATAAAAAATACATAACAAATAAATATTTGTCAGATGTGCAGATTAAAGTAACAGATCATTACTAGAATGTATTATTTACCGCGGAAGTTCGCGATTAATTGTGTTTTATTAAATGTCTGTGATTCTGGATTGAAATAGGTTACTATTTTAGTAAACATAAATTTTATTGCCATAAAGAGATCTGCAAAATAATCCTGTTTCACGTCCGCTTAAAAAGATAAAAGCGTGATGTACTTTTTATTAGATGTAGCATGTTGAAAATTCGAATTGTCGGAGTCAAAGTTGTGTTGTCGTAAAACGTTGTTATTGTACACGTGGCCGTGTCTAAGAATTTTCGCGTGACCGTCAAGATATGTAGTTGTCGTTCGCCTTGCGTGCTCTGAGTACGTACACAATGTCAAACGAACCGTCGAAACGTAAAATAATAATAATCTTATATAAAATAATAATAATATAATAGTATACAATATAATATAATACTAAAATTTACTCACCAACTGATGTGCCGCAATTACAATTCATTGCTGTTGACCCAAACATACATTGCTCCAATTATTATATGCGACACGACAATTTAATTTATATGACATAATTAAATTATATGACATTATTAAACACTAACGCAATATCAAAACTAACCTACAAACGCGAAACAAACTACAAGTATAAAAAAATTCTGCTTGTTAAAAAATTAGGCATCGCGGCAATATCTAATGGAAAATCGTGAATGGAAGGATCGAATACCGAAAAAATAAATCGTTATTTTTCTTTATTAACACGTCGACCGACAATGCATTCAACACTTCCGACGCGCACTTCTATGCGTAATGCACTTTCGAAATCAAGAGACACGGTAGTGTCTCGCGCCAAGTTCACGCGTAGCGCAAGACCGACCGTGTATTTTTACGCGAAACCGAAAGCTGAGACGAGCCGAGATTATCGGATCTCAATAACGGCTGGGTCGATTGAGTATGTTTTCCAGCAAAGGACACAAGTTGACACAAGTTGACACAAATCGACACAAGTATCACTCTGTCTTTGTTCGATATTCAATGAGCAACAGAGAGAATAATACTTTTGTGTCGCTTGTGTCTCTTGATGGAAAACTACCTGAGTTGATAATAAATAACATACGATACTCGCGCGTAATTTTGTCGACACTCCCGTCATTTCCGAAATACATGTAAACATTCAGAAAACGGAGACGACGTCGCACCGATGCTTGTCGAAGATGTGACGAGCGATGCCTGATACGACGCGCAGTACTATTGTTTATGAATGCAGAAAAGAGGTTATATTAGATTAGCTAGCGGTTTACGCGCGCTAATCTCCACGACAGACGCTCTTTGTTTATAATCTTGACATTGCCGACATCTACCGAGATATGATGAAAGATACAAAAAAGGTAAATTCGGGCGGAAATTTGCGCGGAGACAATTTCAAAAGGAGACAACTTAATACCGATGCTTAACAATTTGATGAACAATATCCGACAGGACGCGACAAAATACGACTGGCTTCACAAATGCCGGATAATCGCGTCTACATACATTGTTTGATATTTTGCGACAATTATCCGTTGATCAATTCGGCGTGAATGATAGTACCGAGATACGTTTAAAAAAATGCAGAAGACGAAAGACTTCACATGTCGATGCTCGACAAAGCGATGTGAAACATGACGTCATGAACATGATTAGTTTTACGAATGTCGAAAGACAGATAATCACGATCGTGCGCATGGAATTAATATTCCACGATGATCAATCGATTCAATTCTGAATTCAATTATCTCGATGTTTATTGTATGCAGAATTCGCTTGGAAGAAGAAAAAGTCAGTGCGAAACGCGGGACAACGCTCGCTCCATCCAGTATCGCCGCCATTATTCCATAGACTAAAGGGCGAGCAATAGATCGTGATCATGACGTCACGTTCATGTGATCATTACGTGGTCATATTCAAACTTCCAAAAAGACACATTAATCATTCATATGGTTCTTATGTTTTGTTCTTATATCTATAGAATTATCTTTTAATATTCGCATTAGATTTTAACTGTATTTTTCAATATATCCAAGTATAAGATATGCAGAGTCTTTTTGGAAGTTTGAATATGACCACGTGATCATTACGTGAACGTGACGTCACGAGATCTATTACTCGCTCTTTAGTCTGCGGAATAATGGCGGCGATGCTAGATGTGAGCGAGCGTTGTCCCGCGTTTCGCATAACTTTTTCTTCTTCGAAGCGAATTCTGCATACAATAAACGTCGAGAGAATTGCATTCAGGTACGATTGATCATTGTGGAATATTAATTCCATGCGCACGATCGTGATTATCTGTCTTTCGACATTCGTAAAACTAATCATGTTCGTGACGTCATGTCTCACATCGCTTTGTCGAGCATCGATGTGAAGTCTTTCGTCTTTTGCATTTTTTAAACGTATCCCGGTACTATCATTCACGCCGAATTGATCAACGGATAATTGTCGTAAAGTATCAAACAATGTATGTAGGCGCGATTATCCGGCATTTGTAAAACCAGTCGTATTTGTCGCGCCGTGTCGGATATTGTTCATCGAATTGTTAAGCATCGGTGTTAAGTTGTCTCTTTTTGAAGTTGTCTCCGCGCAAATTGCCGCTCGAATTTACCTTTTTTGTATCTTTCATCACACCTCGGTAGATGTCGACAATGTCAAGATTATGAACAAAAAGCGTCTGACGTAGAGATTAGCGCGCGTAAATCGCTGGCTAATCTAATATAACCTCTTTTCTGCATTCATAAACAATAGTGCTTCGCGTCGTATCAGGCATTGCTCGCTACATCTTGCGACAAGCATTGGTGCCACGTCGTCTCCATTTTCTGAACGTTTACATGTATTTCGGAAATGACGGGAGTGTCGACAAAGTTACGCGCGAGTGTCGTGTTTTATTTACTCGAAAGTGCATTACGCATAGAAGTGCGCGTCGGGAGTGTTGAATGCATTGTCGGTCGACGTGTTGATAAAGACGAATAATGATTTGTTTTTTCGGCATTACATCTTTCGATCTACGATTTTCCATTAGATATTGTTGCAATGCCTAATTTTTTAACAAGCGAAACTTTTTTATACTTGTAGTTTATTTCGCGTTTATAAGTTAGTTTTGATGTTGCGTTGAGTGTTTATAAAATTTAATAATGTTATATAAATTAATTTGTCGTGTTGCACGTAATAATTGGAGCAATGTATGTGTACGTTCAACGGATCAACAGCAATGGATTGCAACTGCGGCACATCAGTTGGTGAGTAAATTTTAGTATTGTATTGTACAATATTATATTGTATAATATTATATTATATTGTATACAATGTCCGTTTACTAGATCGATTTAAAAATTATTTTTTTTATTTATACTGCGTGAGCAAGCTTGAATTTTATTTGTGTCAGTTGTAAATTTTTTACAAATTTTTACAAAATTTTTTATTTATTTATTACATTTTGATACTATTATGTTACCACACATAATCAAAATATTGACCATTGATCTATTTTTATGAATTAAATAGTGAAGGAAATATTTTTCTATTCGTTGCATTGTTTAATTTTTTTATGGATTTTATGCAATAATTAAATTTTATCATGTTTATCTTTCTATGATACTGTTTGAATATGTGCATTTGTTTGTATTCGCAATGGTCATAATTATACCACTGTTGAAACCTATATCATGATTGATAAAGCATAGGTACTATTGGATCTATTTGACATGCAACTGTATTAACTGCGTCTGTAGGATGAAATGCAACATCTAACAAAAGGTACAATATATCGATCGCGTATTCCTGATAATGCAGAATGCATTCTCCATACATGTTACTATGATTTGCTTTGCACTGATTTGAAGTTCGATTACGTTTTGCTCTGCGTTTGCATTGATCTCAAACTTATGCGATAAAAAATGTGCCCTAATTGCTGATTTTTTTTTATCAATTATAAAATTAGTCTTTTATTCAAAGATTTTTGTGCAAAGAAAAAACATTATTAAAAAGAGAGGTAATTTCTATTGTCTCAGTTAAAACAGTGCAAATTATTAAATCTATTGAGAAAAATAGGAAATGATCAATGTATGATAATTTATAATTTTCTACGCGATCATTCAATTTACTGAGAATAAGATAAAGGTTACAGCTACAATAAATTTCCACAGTATTTAGGTAAGTGCTGCTTACTTATTTCGCACGAAGGTCCTCGTTTAAAAATTTATCCTTCTGACGCAAGTACCTGCTTCTGCTTGATAAAATTTTTAGGAAGAGATGCGAAGATTTACGTACTTACGTCTTACATGATTACTGTTTTATTAAAGAATTTATGTGATTGCATTTTGCATTACATTTTCAAGGTTTTGTAACAAATATACTTAGTACACATTACGAATTTATTGAAATATTTTTCTGAAATTAAATTATTTTTAAAACAAAAAGTAAAATATTCGGAAAAAAATTAAAATTACACGATCATAACATTTTCTCTATCGGTTTCCTTGCGATTAAGCGCGATTTCTAATTGATGATAGACGCGGAAAGCACGTCTCGTGGAAATGATAAGTTTTCTTCGCGATTAAATCATAACAGCTGATACACGTTACGTTCCGATGACCTGTGACACGATGCATTCGATGCGAGGAGCCCGCCGCGTTGCGCTTATTACGCGCTTTCAAATACGATTATCTCTCACTTTCTAGATTCGCACCGTATTATTAGCCCATCCCAGTCAGGCATTGGTACAATGTCGATCATCGATCGGTCACTCTCCCGGTTTCTCACTTCGCGTAACCGCGGCGCGGTTAAAACCAACTTTAATTGCGACTCGTCTTCGGGATGGGAAATCGTGAGAATTTCCCGGAGATAGCGTGACGCCGGGAGACGTGTAAGTGCCTACGATTAATCTTCCCTTAGTTTCGAGATAAGAAGGATTTACGGCGAATCCGTTACGTTGGCGTGCGCTCTTGAGAAAAGTTTCGTTGATTTATCCTAAATTTAATCGCAGCTAACGTACGTCTCGCGCTACAATGATCTTCGATCGATTTTCTCGCGCATTACACATATGAATAATTTGATACTTGTTGATTCGTCTTGTCGAAATAAAATTTTTAATATTACAACTTTTTGACAAAAGTTGATTTTTCAAAATAAAAACGCGGATAAATATATACGAAAAATTTGTTTAAGAATCGTATATTTTTATAACGAAATTTTTCGTGCATTATTTGTGAATTTATTATTCTCAGAACTATTAAATTTATAAAGGCAAATTTTATATGCAATATTTATTTAGTGCTTCAATAAGTAATTTCGCTTCTTACATGCCGTTACATCGAGTATCTGGTGCAGATCGAGACTTGATTAAATTCTTTGCAAGCTTGTGTTCGCTTTTAATCCAATCTCAATCCAATTGAGCATACCATTGTAGTTCCAGAGGGGTGGACTCAACGGGATGAAATGAGGCTTCTTTCGTAGGGCAAATTCAACGTAGAGCAAACTTTAAAGTGGCCGAGTAAATTCTCTTGCACGACCTACGATTTCGCGTGAGAGTAGTAGTTACGAAAATAAGACACAGTAGCACTGAAAATAATCCTCACAATGTCTGTGCGATTACGTGTGTGTAGATAGAATTACAAGAGTGTTTATATTTGCTCGAAATTTTTTATAAAATAATGCGCTTAGTATTTTTCGTGCTGGAAAAAATTTGAAAAATTTGAAAAAAAATAAGGAACGTCTCTTACATTCACGAAAGATCTGGCGCTGTCATTTCAATTTTCTACACCGCCGCGGTGAATACCACGGAAGCGATATTGAGATGTTCTTCTTATATGTGCCAAGCCCCAACGTCTCCTTCGCATTCCTTTCAGTATCGTATCTCGCGGCGAGCGTGCGGCGTGTTCTACCGCGAACCAAGCGGTAGCGAGTAGTCGATAAATGTGAAAGCTCATAAAATATGGTAACTCACTCTATGTCGAGACACTGTCTGGTCTGATGGGCGACTCCGCCGCCGCAGGAGCGCGAACAGGAGCTGGGGTTCGACCATGGTCCCCAGTTGCCCCTCTCGGACTCGTCCGTGTCCAGCACGAAGTTGCTGGGCAGATAACTCCCGCCGTGTTGTCGACGATGCCTTCCGTGCCTTAATTTTATATGATGCTGCAACAGAGTCAAGAGGAGTAAATTTATTACGGCGTGCTCGCGTCTCCTCGTTCCGCGCCGCGCCGCGCCGCGCGTCGAGACCGAGAGAATCCGAAGGTATCTCGGGGTCGCGGCCAGGGTCGCGAAAAAGATTGTGGCCTGCCGTGAGAACGTAGGTGAGAGGGAAACATTTCGCGCTAAGTGCCCCCTCGTTCACCTGCGGCCTCCGCCTCCGGAGAACCGTTTGCGCGACGTACAGGTGAGCTTCGTAGGTAACAATGGTTCTTGTGATGACCGCACCGCATGGGGCACTTTAATCCCCCGAGCTGAACAGGCTCACGTGTACAACGCGCAAAAAAGCGCATTTGATCGCTCGCATCGCACGTATCTCTTAATCCGATTTTTATCTAGACAGTTAGCTTGTTTTTTTTTCGTAAAAAAGTGCGAACACTAGTAATCTTGTATATTACATTCATTATTAATTAATTTACTTATTATTTATCTGCTCTGAATTTTATAATATTTAAACTTTTGATTGCAAAACTAAAAATTAATTAATTATCAGAATATTATTCAGAAGTTTATTTTTTAGACAATTTATTATTCTTTGATACAAATTATTTTGATAAATAATTATATATATATAAATCATCAATAATATCGAATTTTATATATCCTCATCTTTTTCACTGATCTTGCTAAAAATCGTGTTTTCTTGCGTGACAAGTCGAAGAAATCGCCGCGAACAATTTTTATGATCATCGTTGTCACAGTATATTAGCGCCAAATTGTGTTTAAATAGCAAGAAGCAAAATTTGCTGCAGGCGTCCAGCTGTGTAACAAGCGCGAGCAGGAATGTAAAACGAGAAAAAATTTTATTTACCGTAAATTGTATACAGAGTTATACGTATTATACAGGCAGGTTACATTGTTAGTCAAATCAATAAAAACCATCTGCCGATTATCTGGCGAGTATATTTTAAAACTAATTTTTAGACAAACGAAATCTCAGTCCAGCATACGGGACTTTTGCCCAAGCTTTTGCTCGCCAGGAAGAGTGGCCATATAACATTTCAATGGCCAGATCTTTTTGGCGAGTGTCCAAAGCAGTTTGCATTCGTTGGTTGTAAAGTTCATGCGCGGTTTCCACTAAAATTATCAGCTATCCTGTTGGCATTCGAGCACCCCTTGCCATATACGCTTCTCCGTTCAATGATGCTTTGGCTGCTAAACGATCGTTTCTCGATCGAACGCGCTCTCGTGCGCAATCGCTATTACAAGCGTGTCCCGTTCGCTGGCTTGTATTCGGTTATTGGTCTCTGGTGGCTTATTCATAGAATTTATGGACGAATAAAATTGTAGTGCTTTTGGAAGACTTCCGAAATTGTAGATTATAACATTAATTTAGATAATTTTTGATAATTATATCTTACAATTAGTATTTATAATTAAATGGTTATCCTTTCAAAAGCAAAATGGTCACATTTAGCCTTTCTGTTTACTGACTTAGAAATTTATATTCAAGAGGGGAGAAAGTTGTGAATAATAATAGCTATTTTCTTTATTAGAGATCGATGGTTCTTAAGTTGACATATGACGAGGGCTTACATTGCTTTTGAAAGCTTGAATTTGCCTAATTATTTGTGGGAATTATTTGTTATGAAATTATTTCATTTGAAACAGAGGCAATCAGGGGTTAAAACCATTTTATACTTCATCCCACGGGTTAACGAGCACTTTGTATACGAATAATTAACGGCAAAAGAACGTACAAAGGGCTGGGCGTAATATAATTGCACAGCGTTTAATGAAAGACAGATTTATTGCGTTCCTGGCAATTATACTCTGTGTACAATTTATCTGGTTAAGTAGTTACACCGATCGTTACATGACGCAGTGAATCATAGCGGCCGCAACCATTTGCGGCAATTACGGTGAATTTTTTTTACTCTTTAAACATATAGAAGAAAATTATGCGTGTGTGCAATTCAGTGTGGTCGTGTCGATAAAGATTTATGAACGCCACTTTCTTCATTCAGAGTTTATTTCTTAAAATGCAATATTTTTTGCACCGCTTACTTATGTTAATTAAAGTTATTAGATTTTTTATTAATTAAAATTTTTTAAATTATAATTGATCATTGGATTTTTTAATCTAATTAAGATTATTAAACATTTGCCACATCCAGAAATTGACAATAAAATTGTTTCTCCGTATATTACTTCTCATATTTGTTTTTACAACGGGGAAAATATACAGAGTTTAAAGATTTACGAGTAAGACAAATTAAGAAATTTCTGCAAATCTTAAAACGGGATTTATGTTAAGCATAAATGGCAAATATGACTATAGAAAACTTATCACAGCTCAATTATCGGCACTCGAGGAAAAAAACATGCGAATTAAGTTTTCTCTTAACCAGGAATTCTCCTTCTTCAATCAGGAATTCTTCTTTCTCAACCAGGAATTAAGTTGAAATTCCAAATTTCAAATAATTCTTACTTTAGAAGTAATAACGAATGGAAAGGTTTATTGAAATTTATGTCACTTGCATCTCACTACTCATAGAAAGTTATAGAGTTTCCGTGCATCGTTCATACAGTCATTCACAGTCTCGGTTATGACAGCTGCAGCGGAGATTTTTACTTGTAAGCGTGGGAGACCGTTGCGCACAGATGGGTGCAGCACGCGCGTCATTTCCGCGTAATAAAAGTATATTCGTGCGCAGGGAGGCGACTTTTTTTTGCGGTTTCTTTTTTGCGGTTTCTAGCATCTGCAACTTATCGCGGCCCTGGCACTACCGGGTTTGCGCGCACGGTGATGTGGGAATAAACAATCATAGAAACGTACGTGGAATGACGATAAAACTCGTAGATCCATTCGCTTACAAAGTCATTAAACGGCATTTAATAATTTCTAACGGAAACAGATAAATGCAGTAGAAACTGCAATCGCTAAGCTGCACATATATGCGTCAATATGCCATTATGTATTAATATAAAATTAATTAGTCGTAATATCGTGTTATCGTTATTGTAAAATCACCGCCGGAGTTAATAACACGGTTGATATAATACTGTTTTCGTTCTAAAATTTTCATGTAATTTTATGTTTTGCGCTATTTATATAAAAAAGTACTTGCATTACTATATGAAATTCTCATCGCGTTTTGCTGAACATCTGTAACTTGCTGTGCTGATTGTCAGACTACAAAACCGCAATATGTGGGAATATATAACGTTGATTATGCTATATTAGCAATGTGGGTGACTATAAAATCTGCGCGAAATGAGTTCATAAGAAGCGCGTGTAAGGAGAAATTCAAGTACTTGCTTACGAAATATCAAATTTAAATCCGCAAAATATATTACGTGGCACATCGAGCATCAAAATATCAATTTTTACATTTGTTTTTTATACGTATTTTTTTAAAACATGCAAAACTAGATCGGCAAATTTTTACGCTAACAGGAAAAGTCAAATTTAGCCATCGGTCAACATGGTAAACAAAGTCAGAAAATTGTTTTGTTTCGATGCTGTTTGACAAAGATTGTTAGGAAAAAGTAGGTCCATCGCGATTCTCACACTAATCAGTGATTACACAGCGAGCGTAATAATCCAAGAAATTAAAATGTATTCTTAAACGGTGACTAATCTTCGTGTATATACTGGTTCAGGACATAAACCGGGCAGCTGGCGAAATCGTTCGAGCTTTACATCATCTTGCGGAACGCGTACAAGGAGATCAACTATTTTGGAGTCAGACATACAGACACGTCGCGTGAGATGCGTCAGACATACAGACAATGACGCGTTCTATTATTACGCAAACTACCGGGGTGCTTGCCTCCATATTTCTCCCGTTTTAGCTAATTGTCGAAGGTATTACGTGATCAACTCGACACAACGACGGACTTTTTCATTAATTGTTAATTATGTCCGGCAATTACATTATGCATAATTGCGTGTCTTATTACGGTATCGATGAGTGCACTCGACGCGACTGTCGCGAATATTCCTTTTTATTCTCGTCGTTTTCCGTACGATTGATTAACCGCGACATTATCTTGCTCTATCTGATAATTACGACTTCATGGGATGATCTGTATCTTTATACAATCAATTATGTTTTAATTATTTCTGAGAAAAAATGGTATAATTGGTCAGATGTAAATATATATAACTAGTTATGAAAAGATCTAATAACATATGTAATTTCATATGATCATATAAAATATTACATGTTATCGGATCTTTTCATAACTAATTATATATATTTACATCTGACCATACCATTTTTTCTCGGGTCATACTGAAGAAAGTATTAATTATTCATATTACGAATTAGAGCTATCGATTTAAAAGTTATGCATACAATTTAAATTCTGAAACAATGTTTAAGATTATAAGATATTTTTTTAAAAGTAGATTATTTCAGAAAATAGTATTTCACTCATGCGTGCGTGTATATAACAACTAGGATATTCAACATATATACGACCGCGCAAAAGCGTGCTTTTAGCTCATAAGCGCGTGCATTTAGCAGTATGTGCCCAGTTAGTTTCATTAAGATGCGCGATTGAATGACCGTTGCTAATGTCAAAGCGAGAGCTTTGCGATTGCAAAGGTTTACGATGCCACTTTACTCATATCATGCTGGCGTGCAATTAAAATTTGCGTTAATATTGGCCACGTATTTGGGAAACGCAGCTGTTTGCATTTAGGAATTTAGCATGTCTTATTTTTGAAAATGTTCAATTTGGTAGTAAAATAGTAGTGCATTCGTTATCGATCTCGCAGTCGATTAGCCATGGCAATAGTTCGCTTCCTATGCTGCGTGGCTGCTATGGCGAGATATGAAACATAACCTGTTAACAGTGAAATGTAATCCAATATCGTCGAGAACAATGATCCGCGGGAACGGTTCTTGCATCCGATCGAATGACCCTGATATAAGTTTCTTGAATTAAGATTAAATTTGAGGAAATTGGCAGTCTAGTCTATTGTGTTACAAATATGTCCGTTTGTATAAACGAAATTATCTAATAATATTTGATAAAAAAAATTTTTTATCGTTTAAATTATTTTTCTTGGCGATAATTAAAATCAAATAAGAAATTAAAATAAAATATTAAATTAAATATTACAAGAAAACGAAACATTTTATTTAAATCTTAAAATTTGCATAAAAAATGATAAAATTATATCCATTCTGTATATAATTGCAATACATTAAGAAAAAAAAATAGGAATATAATCGCCGAGTGGCCGATTATGTGACGTTCATGAAAGTTTATGGAAGTTTCGAACGTAGATTAAATTCGCACGGCAGACACTCTCGTATATTGAATGCAGTTTCATTTGGTCTGTCCAAGTTCTAATGTCTAATATCTGCAGTAACAGTAGACAATCACGAACACTTTTTATCGCGGTCGCCTCTGCAATACGAGCTTCTCTTAGCAAGAAGCTAATCATTAATCTCCGCGAATTTCGACTTTCTACGTTCTCAGAAATGTAAAACAAAAAGTGCGATTTGATATAGTTCTGCTTATACGTTTCTTAATATACATATAATATTTAAACGACCAGTGAAAACAATTATTTTATTAATTTATTTTTCTCGAATTATATCACATCTTTCAACTCAATTAAATTAAGCACGGACTCGCTATTAAATTCTTGTTTAATTTCATAAAACACGTAAATATAATTAGCTGAATTAATTGCAACGTGACAATACCGATAATAAAATGAATGAGACAGATAATAAATGTGGATAATTAAATGCCGAGTTAATGAATCTAATACTTAAGACATCTATATGCTCGTCATTTACTATCTCCGTACGCGCTAACTATGAAATTCAATTTGGACCAACATGTATATAAATCGTCACAATAATTGGATGTTGTCTCGGGCAATGCACGCGGCCGCGGTTTGCTGTTGCCGAGGCGCGCCGGACGTTATACATGGAACATGGAATTTGACGGTCGTAGAATGTTTCGTGAGATTGCGTGGCGAAGAGTTAATTAAATGGTTCGGAGAAGTGGGTCTCCGTCTCGTTCTCCTCTCGACACAAGGGGTCAGTTGATGAACCGTGAACGCCAGGCGCAACACGCCTTCTTCTTAATAATTGTCATATATATTGTCGCCGTCTGACCTCGCGTCTGATGCAAGTGGTGGCGGGCCCACCGTAATGGCGATTTCGTCTGCGAGATCGCTGATAACGGACTTAAAGATTCGTACGTCCGTCATAATCATTTTCCCGACCAACTGTTGCGAGTTCTGCGAAGAAATGACGTGTCGAGAATCAGTCATATAGAGCTTGATTGCGATGGTGGTGATATTGTAGCGCGCAGTTCTCAACTTGGAATCTTATGAAATCTTATGCAACTTCTTGCATAAATTCACTACGGCAATGCCGTGATGTATCAGCGTAGAAACTTCCACACGGTTCAAACTTCAGTGAGTCTAGTAGTTTTTGCCACTTTTAGAATAGACTCTTGCAGCGAAAACGGACCAACGGATCGCGCAAGTCGGGAAACGATGCGTTTTTGCAATTTCAGTCGCGGTTTGTTATATTTTAAACGAGCATACAATGCTACCTCGGATGTAGTTTCTCAAACAAAACAATAGCTATTGCGGTATGGAAGTGCATTTATTAATCTTTTACATATCGCTTTTGACGTTACTGGGACATTGTTCCAGGAATAGCGTTATTCAACGGATATCCTTATTAAAGCACAAACCACAAAACAAGTATTTGAGCTAGATGTAATAAAATAAACATTTTATTTAATAAATATTATTGTTAATACTTCCTCTACAAAGATATATTTTGTCGCTTTAGAATAATATATTTAAGAAAAATGTAATGTATTTTAATAAGTAAGCTTTTTAATTAACTATTTAATTAATTAAATATAATCTGGTCTAATACAATGGAAACAGAATCAGAAGTTTGGACAGATGTTGGAAAACAGAATCTGTTAATTTTTGCTCTGGAGACGTCATTATCTGTCTTGGCAGCATAAAAATTAAAGCTGATATCGGGTACAAAGATTGCATACCACTCTCTCGCGGAACATTTGTACCAAAAATAATAGGAGATATACATTGATGCGCTCGGAAAAACGAAGAGCGCAAAAAACGATAAGCGGGAAGCAACAAGCTTGCAGCTGCCACTTTAATAATGAACGATTACACCGTTGTGCTTCCACAGAAACGTCAAAGCGATAACTATCCCGTGCTCGTTTACGATAGAAAATACAGTTGAAACTGTTCACGGAATACTCGATTTCGCTGTAGCGAAGCTATCTTTTGTACTCACTGTATGTAACTCAAACTTCGTGTAAACGCCATAAGCAATTCTGTCTTCGAAATACGTACGTATTGCATAATGAGCTTGTTTTCGCCAACAACTAATTAATAATACAACATAAAAATAATTGTCTAATGCATTTATAGTTTTACTAATTATTAAAATCAAATTCGATATATGTATTCGGAGATGCAATTATGTCTCCAAATATTTATAAAAATTTTAATTGTGTTGCAGATATATTTAGAGTATTTATCTCGATCTCATTTTTATTAATCGTGTAATTATATACGAATAACAAAGAAACTAATTATTGTGGCGGTGCAGATTATGTTCAATTAATCGCCGACAAATCTACGAAGTTTATTTTAGTGACGCGAATTTCACGACATACCACCGCAACGCGTCGTCGAGATTGGCGGCTACATTTTCAAGATTCCTTCGCGTCTGTAACGACCACTTAACTTAGATTAGCCACGCAGTCTGGTCGGGAGAGCGCTGATGATGGTAAAAAGCCACTATGAGTCAGAGAGTTTTTCCCTTTCCCTCGTGCCGCGGCTAATAATCTCATTGCCGATCCTCGCGGATATCGCGGGAGAGCACTCGACGCACGGCAGCGTTCGCGTTCATTCCGCGTGTTAAAGGCACAATCCTCGCAGATTTATAAATGTAATTTCCCTCTGTCAGACCGGAATATCGAAAAACGCGGCAATCCGAGGCAGATACGCGAGGAATAGTGGTGCGATTGCAGCTGCCCGACAATGCAACCCATTTACCGACGTTTCATTCGTTCAACCCACTTTTATATCGCGACGCGAATTTTAATACGAAAGAAATTGCTGTTGATTTGCAGCGTGCTTAAAAGTGTGTTACAAAAACCCGAGAGCAAATTGTTTTACATCTAGATAATGTTAATTAAATTTCTCTTTTAATTAAATCGTTTCTATTAATTTGAGATGACAGCGCTGTTGAAAGTATAGCGTTCAGCAATGTGTTTGGCCGATAAGCATATTCGTAGGCGACAAAATACATCGCGCACTGATTTCAGAGTGAGGTAACGGGTGTAAAAAGTTCAAGGCTACGCGCGGTTTGCCACCGATGAACACACTGCGTGTAATAAGATCCTGAGTTACTTCTCGCATAAGTTATTTCCCGTGTAAGTCGGACGCGGGTTGTGGGCGCAGGTAAAACAACAGCCACGACAGAAGCACAACAGCCGTGCACATGCAACAAGATTACCGCGGTCTCTTTCGTCTCCCTTATTCGCGTCTGCTCGGTACTGCTTCTATTTTCTTGCCCGTCAAGGATCACGAGAACGTCCTTTAACGAAATTTCCGTTCTCACCCCTAAAAACGTTCTCGCGATGTTGTAGCTTCCATCTCGGACCTAATCTGATCTCGCCATTACGCTTTCGCATCGTTGCGCTTTTCGATCTTGTGAAACTACTTCTTCGCGAATCGAATTTTGTGACCGAAATGATGATGATAACTAATGTCGAAAATAAAAAAACAGACATTTGCCAGATTGTTATATTTTAGTAAATGATATAAAAACTTTAAATTATTTTTAATTAGTGTAAAATGCCAGCAAAAAATAAAAAAAAACATTAAATTTTAATGTTGAAAAGAAAATTAATAAATAAATTTAATTTTTAATTAAAAGAAAGTTTTTACATTAAGACTTCGGAAAAAAAAATTTGTCAAATCAATATCAGTTTGTAAACAGAATCAAGCAGGAAGAAAATGTTATTTATTCAAATATAAAATATTATTGTTTTTGTACCAAAATAATTTTTGCATTAACTCTGAGATATAATTTATAATATCATATTAATAGTGTAAAATATCAGGTGTGATAAATTAGTTTAGGGGAAAAAATATGGATTGTAGTTAGCCCCGAAGGTCATCTATATTATATAATTATTGGTTACGCCGTAATAGTTTACGGAATCTTTATGTTCTCTATTGTCTCGGATTTCCTAGGAACAAAGTGTACCAAGATAATCTGCGCGCGGGAGACCGGGAGGCCTTGAAATCCGAACCGCCATCGAAGAAAGGGCAATAAAACCTGAGGGAATGCCGTCAAGACACATCAAGGCCCTTGTCCTGGCTTTATTCCGGATTTCAAGATGTCTCCCGCTTTGTTCTTAGATCATAAATACTACTTGTTTTATAGACTTACGTGTTTTGCGGAAGTATCGTGCACATGTGCTGCTATAATAAATATTAGAAGCCCCAGCGACCTGAAAACAGAAAATATCGCGTATTAGTAATTTATCCGATTTAATCATATTAAAAAAAGACACATAATCATGTTCTTTTATTTTTTTGTGATATTAAATATGATACAATTTTATCAAGTATCAATTTAATTTAAAATCTTACAACGTGATTATTTTATTCTAATCCAAGTATAGGCACATAATTCATTTATTAGATATGCATATTACAGTAAGCATGAAAGACCCATTAAGTAATAAAATTAATGCATGCAGGCATTCGACCGCGAAGATCGTAAAATAAACGCGAATGGCATACCCCATGCAAACTATTAGTACGATAGATCTTGACCCAGACTTTGATACGACATCAGCCGGGCTCGTTACACCGAGACAAGTTTCACTGCAAAGTGGTTCCACGAGTCATTACGTCAGCGCGGCCGGTAGACAGTTACGCATTACGTGGCATTACGTGAATCGAATAACGCGTTCTTGCCTCCATCCAACGAAAGCGAATCTCTCGAATGACTCGGTATGAGAATTCCTCCGTAGATTGAAATCAAGTGATCACCAAGTGATCACTTTTGATTCCGTGCTTTATTACGAACTCGCAAATGCTAAAATCATCACATTGAAGAGCGTTCGTTAACGATTAATCTTTTCTTTTATTCTATTTTTAAATTGTAATTTATTTTTAATATAAAGGATTTGCATATTATTGAGCGAAAAAAAAACGCGTGATAGTATTTTGACATTTTGACAAATTAATTTTGTTAGATCAGATACAGATAGTTTGAGAGACAGATAAAAAGGAAAAGAAAAATTTACTGCAAAAATTTACTATGTGAAAATTCTTAAAAGAAAATAATATCATGTTATTTATAATACAATGATGCATGTGTAAAAGAGTCTTTGTATTGTCAGGACTTGAAATAGATGAAATCCTTTTAGTTCGGATTAAAGGAATATTATAGGCATTCTATAAAATTTAGCAATAATGCAAAAATGCATTTATGACGAATAAACAATCTTTTCTCTCTTAAACGCACGAAGGAAATTGGAAAATGAAAATATAATCGCGATAAGAATCGATCGTGATGAGATTTATATAACAATATAAATTGTGTTATATAAAATCTCGGCAAGCAAATTTAATCAAACGTTAGCAAAATTTGTGAAATTGGTTCAGATTGCATGCGCGATATTTTGAAATTTTACAATTGGAACTTGCATAAAAATTCATTATGTGATATTTTTTTATCTTATCTCTTGATCTTTCTCTCTAGTTAACTTTCAGTTATTTTATTCAGAAATTTTATTATTAGGAAATAAAAGCTACATCTTTTTTTTTTTTTTAGTAAAAGATAACAAATCGTAATTTAAATTATCTGTGTATTTAAATTAGAAAAATTATTTGAATTATAATAATTAAAAATACGGAAGTTACTAAAAATAAACAGGAATGTCGAATCATAAATTGGGGGCAAGTGCAATGCCTTTGCCAGTGGCAGCGATGACGGAAACCATGAATGAGCATGTTTTTGCAGTGCATTGGCACGCGTCGTTGCGTAAGTTCTTGGAGTGGGCGTCATTCAGGTTTGGAACGATGCCCGGAACTGTCGGTGACTCGCTATCCGGAATGGGCGAGCGCCAATATACAGGCGTCTGTTATCGGCTAGCGGGTCTAATATTCTCGTGAGAAGTGATTTATCGATTTTATCGATATCGATTTTACGCGACGGTAATTACGAGCGTTTGCTGCACCGTGTTTAAAGCTGACATACAACGGCTATTCTGCATATCGAGAGCCGCGCTGAACAACGCTTTTCAATTGTTTATGAAAACCGTCTGCTGTTCATTTCCTCACGCGAGAACACCGTGTTTAAATTCTGAATCATTCATTTACAAATTTTCGTGCTGCCGTGTCGACCAAATAATGGAGTTGTCAAAAAGTTTGGTTTGTTTCACCACCAAAAAATGATTAAAAAAAATAGAGAGAAGAGAGAGTGACTATTTTAACGTATGTTATACGTGTACAACAATCATGTTTTAGTATCGAGGAAAATGTTTTATAAAAAAAGCAATTTGTGAATTACCTTTCCTGAAAATAGATCGCTAATCATGCCGAATGCAAGAAGGTTATGTGAATTGCGATTTAGAGCTGCAATTATTACAACTGGTCTCAGCTGCAAGAAAGCTCTTAGGTAAAATAGTTTCATGAAGCACGACTGCGCGGCCAGATACGGAGATGTTTAATTGGAACGCAGTTTTCAGCGCGCTAAATGCACCTGCGAGGTATACGCTCGCTTTTTTCTAAAGTGCAATCGTCGTTGACCAGTTTAATGATATTTTTCAGTTTCACGCTTTTAAGTGTTTGTCGTGTGGAAATAATTTAATCGCGGACCGACTTAATCGTGAATGCCAATAGCGTGGCTCTAATATAATTATCGTTGCTCGATAATCGAGCCATTCGAGTTCGAAACTTCGAAAGTGCTTCTCCGTTTGCGAAAATAACCTCCTTCGATTCAGCATTGCGGAGGTGGCTTTGTCGGCATAAAGTTTCATATTGCAGTGTTTCGCACAATTTCTAGTTATGAATTCTCTCATGAACTTCCGAGAATGTCAATAAAGTTTAGTTATGAGAATTGCAGGAATATGCAAACTGGTGACAAACACAAAGACGGGAATAATCTTAAGTACTTCGCGCCTCGCGGAAGATCTCAATAGGTCAATTATATTTTATATTACTTTCCGTAAAACATTTCTTTTTTTTATATTAAATTGCACAAAAGATAAATTGTGTATATGTATGAATACAACATGTTGTGCTAATAGGTTCTTTTTGAAAATAAAATTCGAAATATCACTATGGCATCGAGTAATAGAAATCTTACGAAAATGAAAGCAATAATCATCATTAATTTTTGTGAGCTAAGTTGCTGTTGTCATTTATAAAATTCTATCATTAAATTGTCGGTACATCAAACGAGATTTGGAGCCACATAAATATGCAGATGGGCCGGATCTGGCCTTACATTCGAGACCTTTCTAAGACCCCCCACAATCGCATTCTTCAGACTTCAGTTTAGACTAGTCGTGCCTTCTCGACTGCTTGAGTCCAAACATCCAATTACACACATCGCGACCGACCATTGTATGCTGTTTCACGTTGCAGTGGAGCAAATATTTTTTAGTTAATAAGACCTTTAGCTAATAAGACAAATAAACTATTATAACTCTGTAATTTATGTTTGCATCGCATTTATTTAAATCAAACTTGCCTGCAGTATTTACAAATGAACATCATTATACGCGCTCATTTTCTACTCGCGCAATAATTTATATCTGAACATAACAATGCAACGCAAAAATAGCCATTGTTAATATGTACAAGATGCTTTGTGATTTAGAAATATGTCACGAGATGGGCGAGATAAAAAGGATGAACGCGCGGAACGTGAGCGACGTAAGATAGTATTCGTGGAATTCAGGTGTAATGTGCATCCTTGGTCGAACAACGGGCTCATTAGTATCGCAAGAACGATACTTGCAATACTACTAAAAGTGGTAAAAAGGCATCGGCATGCCCACGAGAGCACCTCGAGCGCTTCTATATCAGATTAAGGCTAGGGGCCTGGCGTAGGTCTTTTGCTCGGCCGGTCTGTAGATAACGGCAATCCGATAACATTGTAATTGGTTTATCGGTTATTAATAATGGCATAACCGCTCGCGGTCTATCGCTGAGGTGCAGCACTCATCGATCCTGGGTGCGCAGCATATGTGCCGACGTATGATAATCGAAATATCGCCTTTTCACGATTTCAATTTTTATGAAACGTCCGGCGTTTCGCTACGCGCGGTTATTAACTTTCATCGTCGAAACGCTCAATAATATTGGTTAAACATTATGCACGAGGTAGCTTGTAATTAGGGAGAGGAACAGCACAGTCGGGTAAACATTGACTTACAATAAATATTTTAACACACGTGTAATTTTTGGAAATAAAATGTGAGGCAAAATAATTAGCGTAATTAGTGTAAAGTCACTGAAAAACGTATTAATCACCGTTAAGACTGAACGGAATTTGCGAAGCGTTCTTGGATTAGACGAGATGAGAAAATAAGATGCCGAATTTAAATGAAGTATCTCCATAAGCGTGAAACACTGAAATTAAGAAACAATTTCAGAAATGTTCCTTGAAATTAGGCGCCTCTCGATGTTCTGTTCAACGCGAGATTATACGAACTACAGCGTTGCTAATTCGTTAATCATAAATATTCAAGAGTCAATTAGCATCCTTAGCGGGAGGATTGCGCACTCACCAAATCAATTAATTATCGATTTCCATTACGCTTACGTAACGATCTATTAACGATGTGCGCTCGAGAACGTCCTTCGCGAACTTTTGCCTCGAGTGTCGCGATCCGGGTGCGCCGCTCGCGCGTAAAATTTATGGCATAAATTTCTCATAAACGCATCGCACACGTCTTGTCGTACCAACTATTGGCCGAACTACAAATACGTGCATGCAAAGTTGCTTTTATTTGAATTTATGCGGATTATTCATCGCGAAACATAAACGCGCTGACAAAAGTTCAGTGTGAAACTGTCCAATATAATTATGCATGATACATTGTTACAATACCGCATATCACGACAAATAATAAAATACCATCCGACCTCTCTGCTGCGGCATCTGTTATTTTGATTTATGACATTCGCGGCTAAACATAATATAATTGGGATTTGAATGAATATACGATAATTATCAATATCCATAATATATGACATTGTATATACAACTTTAATATAATTTCGGTATAATAGCGCGCATAATACAACACGTTATCATTTATCCCGATGATAATAATGACTATTCGAGACTTGCATGTTGCACACGGCGCATAATACTAACCCATTTACTGTAAAAACTGGTAATATTTTTGCCTTCGTAATCTCAGGGAAACGTTCAACACAAATTTTCTACTTACTCGAGCGAGTTACACGCTTCATGCAATTGCGAATTCGATAAGAACATGCGCCGCCATTACACGCTATTACACGCCATAGCACTTTGCTAACTATAAAGCGGATGCCCAGCGAGTTACGCATAAATTTCCGTACGTTCGCATACGCGGTGAAGCGCACACGATATGCATTTAATATTTATTTAATTATAATAAACTTAAATTCGAGGAATACTGTTAAATACACTGTTTTATAAAAAAAGTTGCATCCCGATAAAATTCAAAGAGTTAAAGAATTTTATTTATTGTTACGAATAATGATATTATTATGAAACTACAGTTACAGTTTAGTTACGAAACGCTGTTGTAATGTAAATATGTTTATGTTTTACAGAAACTATTGTGCTACTGCGGTATCAGTGAATATATTCGTTCCGCTGTAATTTCATCGTAACATAATAAAATTCGCGAATTTGTGAATAACGTCGGGAGTGTCGTTTAAAAAGTCGCGCGATTGTCGTATTTAGGTATGCGCGCGAGCAATGCGTGCATGATTGTATTGTGTTAATTACTTTTTCGCGATTGTGTTAATTATTTTTTCGCGATCGCGTGTGAGTGTCATGAAGAAGCAGGATTATTGGAGAGGAAGAGGAGAGCTAGCAGGAGATCATGAGGCAACATCGCAGCAACATGGCGGTAAGTAATTGATTTAAAAAGATAGACATTTTTTGGTGGTGGTAGAAGTATTCGATTTAGAATATTATGGGATATTATGGACGTTCGGAATATATCCGGATCACACAGCCAGTGGAGAATCCCGATGCATTCTCGACTGCTGCACCACCTTTCCGTTGTATTCCCGTCACCGCAATAGATAGATGCGCGCTCTCGGTAGGCGTGCAGAATTACGATCCTTTAAAAAAATAAATGGTTTTCCATTAACCGCACAAACTATAAATTGTCGGATTTCCAAAGCTCCGAGAGAAGAAACTATGTGAGAAATTCACTTTTAGAATTCTTCCACAAGCCTTGTTAAAAATAAATTTTTAATTTTTCACGAGTGATAGTTTCAATATAAATTTGTGGGTGTAGATTGACGAAATAGATTGTTTGTGTATAAATAATTACAAATTGTGAAAAACACATCTCTACAAGTCACGTTTTACTGTGCAAAAACAAAATTGAGTTTTTTTTATCGTATCTTGTCTTACGCACGTGCATCACGTAATAAGAGTAATTTACACCGTGAATTGTGAGCTATATAATTTTCGGAAATACGCGTGAGAAATCGATCGCTTTTTGAAGCGGGTTGTCGGCACCTTGCAATCGGGCGTGATTACTGTGGACATTGCGGTGCGCCGGATGGACCGTAATCATCCCTCGCAAAGTGCTTTCCGTCGATTGCATACCAGATGTCTCACATACCTCACAAAGGTATCACTAATGTAATAATGTCCGATTTCTCGACAAAACGATTGTTCAGCTTCCATTTGCAAAATCCAGAAATACAGTTATTACAGAAGTACGAAAATGATGTTAAAATAAACAAGCTTGAAGATTTCTTGAATTGCATGTAATTCTTCACAAGATTTACTTAAATAAATTTCATTTTTAGTCCAAATTTTCTATAAAAGAAATAAGAAATATAAAAAAATTATATGATATGAATGATATACATATTATATTATGATATACATATCTTTGCATATTGTGTGTATATCATTTGCATTCTGCAGTTATTGAAAATTAATTCTATTATGTATATCAGTAATAGGGGCGCTAGTACATGTTGGAGTGACATCTAATTTTTATTCATAATTTTCAATTTCTCACAGTAAAATGACGACACGAAGTAATGACATCTATGATGCCAATTATCTCGCGAAAAAGGTTTGGCACGGGCCGGCTCGTTGTTTGCAATTTACAAGCGCCGAGAGTGATTTTCATGGATTCAGATTAAGGCCCCAGGCAGCGTTTAAGCCGTCGTAGTTAATTTAGCGCGCCGTCATGCTGCCACGACGTAATAATATGAAAGCTCCGCCGTCAATTTCTTTTAATACGCGCTCGAGCTTCGTTAGAGTTCGCCTGGAATATAAACGAACCGGACTACATTCCGTGGAAAAACGGGTCAAAACTCATGCCGTGTTAATTGTCGAACAAGCGCGAGCTAAACTTTTTATAATTATCTAACCGGTCATATAATTACCTGCATCGCAAAACTACGAATAACGATTACATTCCCGTTTTATATTAATAAAATTTAGAAGAATATTAGTGTATCTATAAAATACAAATATTAGTATTAGTTACAATTAATATCATATGTGTATTGCTTTACATGTGTGTAATTTTGCATAACAATATTTTATAAAAAAAATATGAACTATATGATGCGCGGAATAAGCCCATTTTTTTAACAGAAAATAAAGTGATTTCGGATACTCTGATATCTTTGCATGAAAATTTGATCTAATCGGTGATGATCTGTGCTATAAGTGAGTTGTAATCTCTTTATTATATATCTGTAAAGTTCGGTAACACAGTAACACAGTATTCGAGGACATCGCGACTGCGAGGGTGGAGGAGGGGGGGGGAAGGGCCGCACGGGCCCGCTACGAAGATTGTTATCCCATTCGTCGGCGAAAAAGAGTGTAAACCTCGGCATTAGCCGGTTATCCGAATGAGCATCTAGCCCGGGGCCGGTTCTTGGGAACGTGCCAGCGCTGCCTGCTGATGCAGAGTTACTACGCCTCGTAAAACCGCGGTTAGGACCCTTTGTGCAGGCGCTAGCCAGAGGAAATCGAAGTAATTTCGCAGCCGATGCCGCGCGAGCAATCGTTTCCACCTGTCGCCGTTAATAATGCACACGCGTGTAAAGTTCCTTCCGAAAGTTTATGATGCAAAACTATTCTCGCGTGCTCTCGATAATTGATATCTCCAAATTCATATGATTGAATTAATGGAGTGCTAAGGATTTTCTAAAAATGCACTGCAAGTTTCATTAATATACTAGCGAATTATAGATACCATTGCGTGTGTTAAAGATTTACTTTATTATGTTAAAATTAAATGATCTAAGTGCAGAGTCTGTAGTTAAATCGTTTAACAATTAATAGCAAAGTTAATCTAACATTATATTAGATGAAATTTCTCCATGATTTCTTCGTGATTTCTGAGAGACAATCGCGTTAGTTTACGTTTATTCAAAAAATTATTTTAGTAAAAATTTTAACCATTAATAAATTGGAACTATTATTAAATTGGAAGAAAGTTTACATTGAAATTCGCTTTATTATGCTCGCGATTTACGCGTCGCATTTGCGCGCGCAATTGGAATTAGACTGTAATTGCTACTCGAGCCTACTACTATTGGTAGCAGATCCTTCTGGGAACAATAGACGCAGCGCGTGTACTCGAGATACCCACGTGTCTGATGCAAGCTTAATCCCTTCGTGATATCATCGCATTAGGAGTCCTGCAAGATCGCCTCCCTAGAGCGTAATCGAGGTCAGTATCGAAATGGGATTATGTCCCGAGTGTATCGATCTCCGAATGCAATCATGAATGGCCAGGATACCGATCGTGCTCTGTTATGACGTTTTGCGACGTCCTTTAATTGAAATTTGACAACGCACAATCGAATACGAGATAAGTATCGAAAGCTTGCCGCCGACATTGCGCACGATAAACACTCAATCAAAAATGAAAATTTCTTGCAATTTATTCTCCTGAATAATCGATGAAGGATGAAATTTGCATCTACGTCGTTAGAAATCTATCAATAATCTCATTTTCCAATAAATTGTGATTAAAAATTTCATTAGCGAGAGGAAGTTATATAAACACAAAATTTATTAATTGACTGAAACTTTGCGAATATGCACAAATAATTAGAAAGAAGAGTATGTATTTATAATAGTTTTTAAATAAGTAGAAGTTGATGATTTACGAAGACCTGAAATAAAACACGGAAAATTAGGCTGAAAGAATAATCATTTTCAATCACTTTTTACAGTACGAATAATTGGAATTGACATACGGAAAAGGGAGAAAGAGAATAATTTCATTCTATGATGTATAGCCTAATATTTTGTACTAGGACACTTCCTGGATTCTGGTTTTTACAGTATTTCATCGATGAAATACAGTATTCGCGCGACAGATGCACGCGGCTCGCTGCACGTGCGCGTCATTAGTTCACGCTCTACGCACTCGCGACGCGACGAATTTCCGCGGGCTTGGATTCATTCAAGCACGATAACAGTACCCTTGAGAAACCGTGTATAGTTCGGCTCTTACTTTAGCCGCAGGTGCAAAGTTCGCGCGCCGGTGAGAAAGTGGTCGTGACTTATGAGTCGGGTGCCGGCCCGGTCGCGGTGGTCGTAATTAATCATGTGGCGCAAGGAACGCGCACCTAATTCCATAATGATCGCAACGAATTGGTAAGCGCACAATACTCGTTATTAAGTCGAATCAGAAGGGTCGATTGTAGATTTCGCTTCATAAGCTTTCGTGAACCTCTTGTCTCGATGGCGGTTTCGCGGTACGATTGTAAACCTCTTAATTTATCGATGAATCGCTCATACAGGCATGCACTAATTAGGGCTCGATATTTCTCTGAATATATAAGATCTCTCTGTAAAGAATGCGAGTGTTATGTCGACTTTACTATTTAATTATTTATCGTTATCTTGAAAAATTTAAATTAAATAATTCGTAAAAAAATATTTACTTTTACAGTTTTATTTATATCTTATTATTATTGGCCTTTGAGCTTTTAAAAGTATTAAGACAATCTGCATATGTAATTCATGGTTTTTGTTACAAGGCTAGTAAGCTCAAAAAAAAAAAATGAGATGACATAGCGAGCTCGTATACTAAATTTTTCCGACGCATTAGTTGTCCTTTTTGCTTAGCCAGACAACTCTAGAATTCATGATTATATATTTGATGATTTATTAAACAATTAAAGAGAGGCAGAGAGAGACATGTAATTCACGTACGCGTGCTAATTATCATCGATGGTGTTGGTAATTTGCGAACGTGTAATGCGCGGAGTTGCTGGCGGAGCGTTATTCATCTTCGGTCCGGATGGAAGAGAAAGAGGTGGACGAAATGAGGAAGGATTCTGTTGTTCGTAGGACGAGACAAAGAAAACGATATCCCATGTGTCGTCGGCACACAAACGGCCGTATCTGTGCTGTGCGTTTTGCTGTTTCTCCCTGCGGCAATGCCATCCAATCCTACTCTGCCTGATGAAACCTTCCATTTTCATCTATCTGTCCTTACTCCTTGCGTTCTTTGAAATGCTACCGCTCGATTCAGTAGGGAAAAAATCATACGTTTCGAGGAGGATTACGTGGCTTAAAGATTTGATGTGTGTGAATGGTTTCACTCGAATAATGGAATTTTACTGTGGAAATATTCACATTCGCGAGTAATGTTACCGTGTATTTCTCTGTGCAATATCACACGCTCGAAGTCATAACATAAATTAAAAGCAAAACAGATATTTTTGTAATTAAATTTTAAGGAAATATTTTATTTCTTATAAAAATTATGTTTAAAATTGTATAATATATATATTCTGTAGTTTATATATTTTTATAATTTAATAATATATATTACACGTACCTCAATTGGATATAGTTTTAGGTCTGTGTAAGACTGACACGCCAAAATGCGAATTTTCATAA